GACCCCAGCTCCAGGAGCACATCCACCAGAGGCAGCAAAATCCTCCCAGGATCCAGAAGCACATCATTTAATGTACACAAAACCATATTCTCCGGATCCCTTGAGGATACTTTGTCACTCCGAAGGAAAGGCTTTGCCTAATAAACCCCTTCACAACCCTCCATAAACACAGACCCATCAGGCCTCAAACCACACTGCTGTACACAAGGTACTGAACTCCTCAACACCAGATAAAACTACCTCATGAAAGCCATGTAGAAAATAGTTCATGGCAGCAAAATTATCTGTTCCTACCCATTTAAGGACTCCCAAGTTCCCTTTGATGTCCAGAGCATAAACCCGGTTTCTTTAATGCTGCAGCACAGGACTTCAAGTGGTAAAAGCCAAACCATAATAGAAACATCTCCAAACTCCTGGTCCATCTGTAGCATTTTCTATTCAACATCTAGTTTTGAACGTCAGTAAAGCATGTTCTAGAAGAGCCTACATATACTTCAGTTTAATGTGACTGTTACCCAAAACTATGTTCAGACCCTGTGATTGGATGGTACAATTTGGACCCCTGGAATTCCAGGATTAGCAGGAGTACTTTCAGGCACAAGTACAGGCCAGGCAGAGCATGGACAGGGAGCAGCACTGGGGAGAAGGACATGGGGGTGTTGGTGGATGAGAAGCTCAGCGTGCCCCGGCCCCGTGCTCGGGCAGCCCAGAACCCCCCTGTGCTGGGCTGATCCCCCAGCGTGGGCAGCAGGGCAGGGGGGATTCTGCCCCTGTGCTCAGGTGAGAGCCCACCTGCAGAGCTGCCTCCAGCCCTGGGCTCCAGCACAGGAAGGAGCTGGAGCTGCTGGAGCGAGCCCAGAGGAGGCCACAGAGCTGCTCTGAGAGCTGGAGCCCCTCTGCTCTGGAGCCAGGCTGGGAGAGCTGGGGGTGTTCACGTGGAGAAGAGGAGGCTCCAGGGAGACTTGAAAGCCCCTTCCAGTGCCTAAAGGGGCTACAGGAGAGCGACTTTGGACAAATGGAAACAGCCTTAAAATGCAGGATGATAGGGTTAGACATTATGATGGAGTTTTTCCCTGTGAGGCTGCTGAGGCCCTGGCACAGACTGCTCAGAGAAGCTGTGGCTGCCCCTTCCCTGGAAGTGTCCAAGACCCAGTTGGATGGGGCTTGAAGCAACCTGGTCTAGTGGAAGAGATGAAGCTGGATGGTCTCTAAGGTCCCTTTCAACACAAACCATTCTGTGATTCTATGACCTGGAAGTGCCTAGTCCACATCCACAGTCAATGCAGAAAAGCAGGAGCACAGTCCTTTCAAACTCATTGGGAACCCCATGAAATTAAAATTTGTATTTGTCCAAAAAAAAAAAAATCACCTGTTCTCAAGTATAGCACTTTACAGTTGAACTGTTTTTAAGCTCCCATCCATCCAAGCTGTATATTCAGATGCCCAGCCCACATCCTCTCTGCAAGCAATGTTACTCAGAGCTGCTGCCACACTTCTCTCCAAAGCCATTTACACCATCACTCTCCAGGCTGAAGCACTGAGCTTGTCCAGTGCTGCCATGGCAGAGAACACACAGCCAGCCTGCACAGCTTGAGAGAGGTGACAGGAAAGCCAGCTGCAGTGTCACAGAGACCAGACCATGGCAGCGACCCAGGGAACATCCCTTTAGGAGAGCAGGACAGCCTGACACTTTTCTGCAGGGACAGGAGGTCAGCCTGGATCCTCACCTGACTGAGGTCCTACCAATGATCTAAGCCTTGCTAGAGAAGCTCCTAAGCAGGTGGGAAAGGTGAATGAAAGGGTGTATAAGGACTACACCACAGAGATGGAAGGTGTGTGAAGAAAATAAGGGTATGTGGAGCAGCTGAGGCCTGGCTTGTTTAGCCAGGAGAAAAGGGGAGATTCGATCATGGTCTAGAGCTTCCTCATGAGAAGAGGCAGAGGGCTCTTTGGTGACCAGTGACAGGATCCAAGGGAAGCTGTGTCAGGGGAGGTTTGACTGGATGTGAGGAAAACATCCTTTCCTTAGAGGGTGATCAGACAATGGAACAGGCTCCCCAGGGCAGTGGTCACAACCCCAGGGCTGACAGAATTCAACACTCTCAGGCAAAGAGTGGGATTCCTGGGGGTGTCCTGTGCAGGGCCAGGAGCTGGATTCAATGGCCCTTGTGGGTTCCTTCCACCTCTGAATTTACAGCTTGGCAACACAGCCACAGACCAGGTGCTACAGGTACCACATTAAGCCATGGTATGTTTACTAGGACAAAATACAAAGTTCAACACATTGGGCAATGACTGTCTGCACCAGTACAAACAGCACTAACTGAGAGGGAGCCCTGCTGCAAAGATCCTGGAGGTTCCCACAGAAATCAGCCTGAATGTCCCACAGTAAGGCAAACCATGAGGCAGGGAACAAACCGTGGCCAGTACAGAAGGCTTCCCTCTGCTCTGCAGGTGGCTCCAGGTCAGAGTCTCAGAGGTTGCTGAAAGGCTCAGGTTTGTGTAAGGAAAAGCCTCCCCCGTGGAATGGTGCAGCCCTGAAAAATATCACTACAGAAGTGGGAGAGGATCTCTGTCCTTGGAGGTTTTCAAAACTTGGCTAGATGAGGTCAGTAACAAAGCCTGGCCTGGTCTACTGTGAGTCCTACTTTGAGAGTTCTTTCAACTGCTTTCCTACAACTCTACTAACGACTTTTAAGCAGTATGCAGCTATTCAATGAAACACAGATCTTTGTCAGACACTAACAGATTCTCTGCACATTTTGTGCTACATAGCCTCTTCATAGCACCAAGAATACTAAAGAACAAGGCTCAGATTTTATTCCAAAAGCACCAGCTCCTAGTTGGCATGACGGGCAAGAGAACTGTCACACTCTTTATAGCTTGGGGCCTTCACACATCACTGATGAGAGCTTCAGAAAAAGTATGAAATGTATACAGACAGCACAGGTAAATGCTGTCTGTATTCAAGCCACTACAGAATCCTCTTATTTACTTATCTAACACTAAATGCTTTCCCCACTCTTATATACATTATTTGCAAGCACACAAAGTTCCAGGCAGAATTTCTCCAGCCCAATCTGTTTCCTTTCCCTACAGGATGTGCTCCAGCTGAAGGGCACTAGCCTGTCCTGCCACTGCCCTTCCAGCAGCTGCAGACGCAGTCCCTTGCTGCACTCACTGCTGGGCTGCAGCCCCCCAGCTCCCTCATGGCACTGCTGGATCAGGCTCTAGGTCCTCTGCACTCCCTAGCACGGTGCTCAAGGTCCAGCTGCACCTGTCTGAGGCTGATGGAAAGCCAAGTTTCCTGAGAATGTCTGTGCCAGCTCAGACCAAGCTTATCAGCACACCATGTGGAGGAACACTGTTTCTGGGGATGGGACTCCAGGGAATCTGCATCCTTTGCAGAGACCAGGGGCTGCATTCATACTCTTGACTTGACTTTATTTGAAAACCATACAATAAACAGCTTCCAAGGAAAAGGTAAGAGCAAGGACTTCAACACACCCCACCAATACTCTAACTTACAATAATTTTCAGCTCAACAAGTATTTCCCACACATCCAAAGCCTACAGCAGTCTTGCTACATTTGTAAATCCATGTAACCTTCTGACAATCTCTTTTCAGAGATGTAGCTAAACAAACGAGAAAAAGAGCCGCATGCCCATCCCAGCCTCCAGCTGCGCTGCCCAGCTCAGCACCTGAACCCTGGCCTGTAGGACATCCCAGCCCCGTCACACCTTCCAGAGTGCCCATCAAGGTGACTCCATTTACCAGCTCATTCCCCCAGCCAGTCTCACAAAGCCCTTCAGGAACTCTCCGCATCAGCCCAAGCCCGGCGCTCCCACCTCGGACCGGGAGCGGGGGAGCGGCAGCTCGGCAGCAGCACCTCGGCAGCAGGCAGGGCGGTGGGCCGGGCTCCTCCCGCCGGCCCCGCACACGAGCCCCGGCCTGACCCGCAGCGGGAACCGGCGGCTCTCCGGGGCGCCCCGCGGGCCGCGGGGACAGACGCCCCGGACGGAGCTGCGGCCCTTATGCCGGCCGGCGCTGGGGGTCCCGTGGGCCGCCATGTTCTCGACGAGCCCGCCACCATTTTGGGGCGAGGCGGCGGGAGCGACAGGGCGCGGGACGAGACACGGCTCGGGGCAGCGAGACCCGCTGCCCACGCGGTCCGGCGCGGCCGTCCTGCCGCCCGCTCCGTTCCCCGCATTACCGCTGCAGCTCGCGGAGCGGTGCTGGGCTACCCCTGCCCCGCCGGGCCCTCGCCCCACTCACCATGGCTCGGGAGCGCTGGAACAGACGCGCAACGTGTCCGGGCAGCACCGCAACCGCAGTAGCTCACCCCGGGCTACCTTATATACAGTGGGGGCGGGGCTTTCAGTTCCCTGGACTGTGCTCATTGGCTTGGCGTGCGCTCAGCTGCGGGCCATTGGGTGACAGAAATGTCTGTCACCATCCTGCGCGAACTATTGGCTGATTCGTAACAAAGGGCGGGGAGGTGGCGGGGCTTAACCTTCCCGCCACAGAAGGCCGGCACCTTCCTCCTCAGGCTCTGCTTCAAGGCGGGGTCGCCGTGCCCGGGCCGGGATCGCCGTGCCCGGGCCGGGATCGCCGTGCCCGGGCCGGGATCGCCGTGCCCGGGCCGGGATCGCCGTGCCCGGGCCGGGATCGCTGCGTTCGGAGCGGGATCGCCGTGCCCGAGCCGGGATCGCCGTGCCCGGGCCGGGATCGCCGTGCCCCGGGCCGGGATCGCTGTGATCGGGCCGGGATCGCCGTGCCCCGGCCGGGATCGCCGTGCCCCGGCCGGGATCGCCGTGCCCCGGGCCGGGATCGCCGTGCCCGGGCCGGGATCGCCGTGCCCCGGCCGGGATCGCCGTGCCCGGGCCGGGATCGCCGTGCCCGGGCCGGGATCGCCGTGCCCGGGCCGGGATCGCCGTGCCCGGGCCGGGATCGCCGCGTTCGGGCCGGGATCGCTGTGCTCGGGCCGGGATCGCCGTGCCCCGGCCGGGATCGCTGTGCCCCGGCCGCTCGTGGCCTCCCGCCCAAGGGTATCCTGCGTGAGAGCTCTCCCTTGTCCCGGCTACGTGCACTGAGCCCGGTGGGAGCCACCAGGGAAACACCCGGGCAAAGCTGGCACCGAGGCGTGGGCATCCCGGGATCTGCTAGGAGACAGCCTGAGAGCCCCTCCTCTGCCCGGTGGGCACCCAGGAGCCCTGGTCCTCCAGGTGGGCTCTGGGTGCTGTCTCTGGGCTGAAAGTGTGGGGTGTGGACAAATCCCGGACCCAGGCGGCTGGAGGCAGTTCCACTGCAGTCACCAGGGACAGCAGTGCCTGTGCAAAGTGCCATTACTGGGATGAAGAGTCACAAAATGGAAAGCACTCAAAACTAAAGGGCCAGATCTGGAGAGCCACATAGATTCTACTGGAATCACTGTAGATCTGGTGTTTAAACTCCAGCTGAAGTTGGATATGAAGTGGGAAGCATAAAAACCCTGTGGTGTGTCCTAAGGGTTATATTAACAGAAATATTCCTGCAACTGCCAAACTCACTCCCTAGGTGAAAGCAGCTGCTGTGTGTGCAGGTCTGATATTTGATACCTGAAGTTCCATCCATCCTTCAGGGCCTCAGCACCAGCTTCAGTTTCAGGAAATTCCTTCTTCCTGCACTGAGCTGAATTTTTGCAGCGGGAGAGGGACGTGAAACAATTTTGAACAATATAACAAAGTGGGTGATTTTTCCTCTTCCTGTATAGAACTCCAGCCCTGCGAGCAGCCTGATAAACGTGGTACTTTTAATGGGAGTGTGGTGGAATTGTGCCAGGCTGGATCTGGATGGAGGGAAGGAATGAACCCCCTCACTCTGACTGATCCCTAGCGCAGGGAACTGACACCTGCTGAGGATGCTGTTCCTGCTGTTATCAACCCCATTGTGATCATTTGAGCCCAAGGCATGGAATGAAACCTGTGTGGGTGTACCCTGAAAGGAAAGAAGGGCAAAAAGCACTCTGGAAAGCAAGGATCGGAGGATTGAGAGAGGATCAGAGGTTGAAGAATTGGAAAAATCCACAAATAACATTGATATAATTGTTTTTCCAAAGAATGATGCCAAGTGTAATGTGTGACTGAAAACCAGGTGGGCTATAAGAAAAAACTAAACCATGTTTAGGGAATTTGGCTGATGCCTTAAGTTTTAGCTTTCGTATTTTCCAGATTCTGTACTGCATTAGTATATAGCTCTAAACTTCATATAAAGTGTCAGCAACTTCTCTTCACAGTTTAGTTAGACAAAACAATCATTTTCCAGCCCCAGAACCAAGGACACGATTGCAGCTTCAGGCCCTAAAAGTGAAAACAACAGCGAATTGAGGAGAGCAGACTGGGAGGATGAGACTTCATAACCTGGAGCTGTAATTGGACAGTTAACCCAATATGGAAATGGACCAAAACTTATAAAAGTGTCAGAACTCATGACTCTGAGTCCATCTTGAGTGTAGCCTTGGCCAGGCTCTTGTACTGCCCAAGGTGTGTCCTTTGACGGCCTTTTTAATAAATCCCTACTTTATTTCTTTAACACTGTCTTGCTCTGTTCTGCTGCACTATGAAGCAGTCCCCGAGTCCTACAGAAGCTGGTGCTGCTGCACACCCAAAAACCATTCCCTGGGACCTGAAATGCTTTTGATTCAGTTTGACTAACGGTCATGTCAAATCCAGGGGTTTCTTTAATACAATCTTTTTTCCGGCTGGAGACCAGTTCTGTGAGCAGCAGAAGTTTCTTTGTTTCCCCAGGATTTCCCTGTGCCTGGTAATGCTATCACGGCCCCATGCACAGATTTGGCTGAAATCCATGTGTTCAGTGAATATGACACCTTCCAAAAATTCTGGACTAGCTGTGTATCTGTGATACAGTCTCAGCACCTGCACTGTGGGCCTGGGGCTTCTCCAGCAGCTTTGATGAAACTTCTTTGAATGCACAACTCTGCAGCTCTTGCTTTCTGTTCTTTCTGAGAAGAATTGGATGAATAATGTGTGCACATTCACTTCTGACATTGAATTCCCAAAAATGTGACAGCCTTAACCCTGCATCTGCCTGCTCGAAGTACCTGGGATGACCTGGGCGTTCCATGCACATTTCCCAGCACTCAGATGGACAAGGGCAGCTTGCTGCCTGCATTTTGGCCGGTACTGACTGAGGTGCTGGCTCCTCCTCACCTCCAGCTCACAGGACACAGGGTGTGAGGATTGCTGAGGGGCGTGTGGGAGTGAAGCCATCAAACTGCATCACCCAGGGGACAGTGCTTCACCACAGCTCCATTGTTTCAGAGCTCAGGTTCATCTCCTCCGCTCCAAGTGCAAATCCATGCTGTTTCACACACCCATCCTCAGTCCTGTGCACTCACACTGCTTTTAGACCTGGCTCCTTCCAGAAGTGTAGTGTAGGGCCCCTCTGACTGTATCAGCAGGGAGAGACACTCCGTTCCAAGTGCCTCCTTTGTGGAGGCCAAAGAACCCAGCCCAGATGCCTGTCTGGACAGCTCCTACACAGGAGCATGGCAGATGGGGACAGGGGGACGGGCAGTGAGTTTGTGAGTTTTCCTGCTCTGGTTTCAGCTGTATCCCATGGCCACCAGCTTTACACCAGCCCATTGCAGGCTGGATCAGGGGGTACCTCAGCAGGGCGCTGCTCCTCAATGATGGGTTTTATTCTCTGGTTCTGAAGGACCCTTTCTGTATCTAATATATTTGATTTTATTAATTATTTTCAATTTTAGATTGCAGGATCTGGAGCTGGTCCTGGACATCAGCTGGGAGCTGGTGAAGGGATGTGTCATGCTCCAGCAGCAGCAAGGAGCACACTCCAGCAGCCAGTTCCTTAACATGGATTTCTTTCTCGGTGGGTGGGGACGGATCCTCTGGTGTACCTCAGGGTGGTGTGGGCAGGGCCCTGGGAAGGAGAGGGATGTGCAGGTGGAGGTGGTCCTGGGATGCACCAGAGAGTAGCAACAGCCCAGTGCACATTGCTGGGCTTTGGCTGCAGAGCAGGATGTTCACCTCCTCACAGACCTGCACATTTGCCCTGGTTTCAGCCAGGACAGGGTGAAATTTTTTCACAGCAGCCATGAGGGGCAGGGCCTGGAGCCGGGTGGGTGGGTCCAGGTTGTTATTCCATACCATGCACTTCACTGCCAGGGTGCAAGTGAGGGACTCCCCCTTCCTGAGGGAGAATGACATTCCCTTTTGGTGGGGGAAAGCACGGTGCGGGCAGGAAGAGCTGTTGGGTGTTGTGGTTTTCCATGTAAATAAATAATTCTGTATACCTTGTGTTATAAATATTATTGTGATTACTGGTTGTTTTCTTATCTCATTGCTGTTTCCAGTAAATTGTTCTTATCTCAACACATGATTTGCACCTTTTGTGCCTCCAATTCTCAATGCCATCCCCTCCCAAGAGCAGGAAGGTGAGGGGAAGGGGGGCAGTGAGAGGCATCTGGTTTGGGAGAGTCTTGGTGGAGACACTGAATTGGGGAATAGAATTTCTAAACCACAACAACCTTCTATCTCATCACACAGACCTGCACATTTTATCTCAACTGCTGCATCGCAACAAACAGAGCAACAATTCGGGGAAAATGCTTAATCCACTGACCTCAGGTCAAACCTTGATGGAAGGACATGGATTCTCCAAAAGGGCTTTGGGAATGTTTGCTGGGTGCCAAGATAAATCTTTCATTTAGAGCTGAAAACTATTCATAACTAGCACTGAATTAATTCCTGTTCTAAACAGTCCTGATCCAGATGGGCTGGGAATCCTTAAATACAGGAACTACAAGGCAGAAGGCACAGCTAGAGCAGTTGTACAAAGGAAGGCCTCCAGAACCCTGAACGTGTGCAGTAGGCATAGCTCTAATTATATGATTAAACCCTGTTTATACCTGATCCTGCCCCCGCAGGGAGTGTCCAATTAAGTGGCAGGATGTGCCTGAGTTGCCAGAGTGGAACCCCAAAGGGCTGGGCTCTGGTTTTGTTTGTGAGGTTCCTTCCATGATAGCTGGAGTACTTGCAGCAGTGTCTGCCCACAGATTAACATTCTATGAGCAAGGTTAATATCAGCATTCTCTCCCTTGATCACTTTGTAACCTCACCATGTTATTAACCTGGCTTCTTGGAGGTAATCCTTAAATAAGAGCCTGGCTAATGACCTTAAATACATTTTCTGCTTTTAAATCTTAGATTATTTGTTCATCCAACTGTTTTAATCCTGCTCCTGCAAGCCTGGACTTCACTACCTGCCCTATTTGTTTGTTCTCTGCAAGCCCACATTGCAGGGGCTGCTCCATCCCTGCTCACTTTAAATATTGCTTCAGCCCAGACTTTCAGTGCTGCTTTCCTGCCTTTCCCTGCTGCTCTGCGGTACCAAACCTCCACCTGCCATTTGTCAAAGCTGAAACAGCTTCTCTGGCAAGTACAGTTGTTTTTAATTTAGAATTCAAAGCCCTCCTGAGGAACGCACTGACTGGGCCATGGCCTCTCTGTTTTGGGGTGCTGTGTCTGTGCTGGACGGTGTCCCTGTCTCAAACGATGCCAGACTTTGGTACCTGAACCTGTACCTGGTTCAGTTTGTTACCTGGAAGTAAACTGTCCCTAGCCTACAAATTTTGTCTTCTCCACACTAACTTTTGGTTTAGATACTGAAAACATATCTTGTCTTGCCCTGCTAGAGGAATTGGTATCTCTTTTAGGGCAATTAATTGGCTTTTTTTTGGGAGGTGTTCACCTGGAGAAGAAAAGGCTCCAGGGAGACCTTAGAGTTCTTTCTGGTGCCTAAAGGGGCTCCAAGAGAGCTGGAGGGGGACTTTGGACAAGGGCCTGGAGTGCCATGATGAGGGGGAATGGCTTCCCACTGGAAGAGGGCAGAGATGGGTGGGACACTGGGGAGAAATTCCTTTCTGTGAAGATGGGGAGCCCCTGGCCCAGGTAGCCCAGAGAAGGTGTGCCTGCCCCATGCCTGGAATGTCCAAGGCCAGGCAGGACAGGGCTTGGAGCCCTCTGGGATGGTGGAAGGTGTCCCTGCCCACGGCAGAAATGGAAACAAGATGAGCTTTAAGGTCCTTTCCAACCCAAACCATTTTGTAATTCTTTTCGTGTGGGTAACCAAAATCACTCATAAAGCCAGATCTCTCTTGCTGGGCAGCTTCCCCTCCCTGCTGGTCAGGCAGCAGCACCAGGGACCAGCTCATTCCTGTTCCCAGAGTTGGGACATTCCCATCTGTACCGACTGTGTCGCAGGGTCCTTCTGACCACGGAACCTGGCAGAGGTGCAGTGAGTGAGTGTGGCAAGCAGCTCCCACCCTGCAGGGGTTTTGGCTAGGGCAGAGTTACAGCTCTCCACAGCATATTGTGGTGCTGTTTGGGATCTGTGCTGAGAATAGCATAAAGCCCACAGGGCTGATTTAGCTCCTGCTGAGTGAGGAGCTGTTCTACCCCTCACCCTGACCCACCAGCGTTGGGCCAGGGATGCACAGGGAGCTGGGGGGACACAGCCAGGACAGCTGTCCCCCACTGACCATAGAGATATCCCAGACCATGTGATGCCATGCTCAGCCCTGAAACAGAAGGTGAGGGGATGGTGGGGTCTGGCCAGGCTTAGGGCAGTTGGTGATGAGCAGTTGCTTTCTTGTATCACTTGTTTTTCTTGGTTTCTATTTTCCTCTCTTTGTTGCTTTTCCCCCTTACATTTAAAAAAAAATTCTTTTTCATTATTTAACTGTCTTCATGTCAACCCACCAGTTTTCTCACTTTCACCTTCCACTTCTCCTGCCATTACAGTGTGGGGGAGAAACAAGGGGCTGTGTTGGTGCTTAGTTGCCAGCTGGGGTTAAACCATGGCACATCCATGACTGCTCCATCTCTGATGGCCAGGCAGCAGAGGCTGGGGGAAGTGTCACAGACCTGAGTTGGTTCTTGCTACCCAAAGCACACACGGGGGGGCTGTACTGAGAATTGTGTGGATTGCTGACCAGTAAAGCAGGTAGGAACAGAAACTTCTCAGCCCACTGTCTCACATTTGAGACGTTCTGGGAATTCATGGTGACACCGATGGATTAGAGCAGGGCACCAGGACAGAGCTGAGCACTCATGTCCCCATTAGCCTGAGGAGCTGAAGCAGTGTAGGCACTGACGTGGCTGGAGAGCTCCAGGTGGTTCTGCAGAGGGATGCATGGACAAGGCAGAGGCGCTGTGCAGGTGCACTGCACTGCAACCAGTGCAGCCAGTTCTGCACTGGCCTTGTGGTGCAGCTGCACATGGCAACAGCCTCTTTTCACTCACCTCTGGGCCGAGACAAATTTCACATCAGTTTAGCTGGATCAGCAGCACAAACTAGTTTGTCTGTGAAAGCAGGGAGGGGGTGCCAAGGAGCGATCCAGAGAGTCCCAGTAAACTGCACTCAACTGCCCTATGTACAGCACTGGCACTGTGGCATCACCTCTCCCAAAATCAGGAGCTGTGTCTCAGGTACCATCCAGCTACACACAGGACATTCCCTTTTGGTGCCAGCATACTGGGTTTCCAACAGAAATCCCCATATCCTAGCAGAGGCCTTGAGGAAAGGGCAGGAACCTGCGGAGCGCTGGCACCAGAGCCAGGCTGGGACACCTGTGGCTGCAGCAGGGATTGAGCTGAAGTGGGCACAGAGCCCCCAGATCGCTGCATTATGCATAGCTACGGTCCTCACACTTTGGTGTTCCTCATCAAGGGAGATCCCTCTCTCTGAAGCCTGAAGCTGCTCTTTTCTCCAAGCACCCTTTCTCTTCGGCAGTTGGGTCCTATTTGCCGAGTCCTGGCCTTTTTTGTGCCAGCCCCTTGGACCTGTCATGTGTCACTATAGGACATGTAAAAGTATGACAGGAGCTGCTGCTATTGCAAGGTGAAAAAGAGGAAGTTTATTTTCTGACTCTAGTATTTATATTTTTCTAAAGGTGACAGTGGATTGGAGAGTGAATGTGCCACCTCTCCAATGACATTGGACAAACTACCAGTATATCAAGTTTCTCCACCCCTATGGAGGAATGCAAAACAATAGATTGTTTACAGAAAGTTGTGCAAGAAAGTTCTCTACAAGAATGTAAACTTAGAAGGCTTTAGAAAATCCTAAAAATCAAGGCAACAGTCATGGCCTGGCAGAGAGAACCAAGTCCTCCAAGAGAACAGGAAAGCACGAGGCAACAAGCTCTTGAAGCCATGTCCTCATGTTCCACTGCCAGATATTCCAAATTACACAGCGATTCTGCAACAGCTGCGGTCTGGATGTTTGCCATGGAAAGAACCGAACCGGCTGTTCACAGCATTCCAGACAGCGTGGGGAGCCAGCTCCTTCAGGAGGGGAAGGATACCTGTGCTGACACGGCTCTGCTCCTTTTCCCTTCCTCTGGGGGCATCTCTTCCAGCTGGGTTGGAGCAATGGCACAGGGTACTCCGGGCAGCAAACAGAGCGCTCTGCCTCTACACACACAGCGATTACAGCAACTGTCCGCCTTCCCGCAGGGAATTCTGAGCCTCTGGAAGATAAGGAGCATGAAAGGGGAGCAGAAGCCCAGCTGAGCATACACACACTCCCCGCTGCTTCCCCAGGAGGAGAGGTGGGGACAGGCACACCCACGAGGGAATCCTCCCAGCGCAGCTCTCGCCCCAGGGACACTCGGATCCCATCAACACACAAATGACCCTGAAAGACTTGTGAAGGACAGACCCCGGCAGCTCTCCCCCTCTCCTGCCGCACACAGCCGGGGCTGCTGGAAACACTCGGCTCTGGCTCTCTGCTGCGGCAGTACATGCACCACTGCCAGCCCCAGCTGCATTTCTGGGCTCTGCATTTCTGTCCAGCTGCAATTCTGGGCTCCAAACCTGCCCCGGGCTGTCCTCCCCAGCTCAGCCCACAGGGCTGAGAGGCAGGCGCCCTTCCCTCCCTGGCACGGTTTTCTCCCGGCAGAAGCTGTATCTGACTAGTTCATTCCTTAAACCCCCAGGAAATGGCCCTGGGATGCTCAAGGGACAGATCCTCCCCCCAGGTGCTCCCACCCCTGCAGCTCTCCCAGAGTTGGATGTGCAGCACTTCAAAAGCCAAACTGCAGCAACCACTGGGATGGACTGTGCCACACTCCCTTCGGTTTTAGGGAAGATGCAAGAAACATTTTTTCCAGAGCTGCTTCCCCCTCTCAGAGGATGGAAGTGTTATCTCAGCAACCCTGGAAGCTGCTCACTCTTCCTCAGGGATTGCACAAAGGGAGCCAAGCACACGGTTTTCACTTTGTGTAAGATTGGGTCATTTTCAGGTGCTGGGGCACTCACCCCAAAGCAAATTCCTGTGAAAACTGGCTTCTCCCCCCGATCCAGCCCCACAGGTCAGTAACTCCCACCTGGATTGCTGGGCTGCCATCTCCCTCTTCTTTGTCACTGAGGGGCCCAGCTGTGCTCATACCAAAGCTGCACCGGAGGGACCTGGCTGCCTCACAACTCAGCACTCAAGTATTTATGCTGAAATGTGTAAAACTGTTGGTTGAAAGAGAACAAAGCTGGCTTTGATAAAAGCCCTCATGTTCTCTCTGCATTTTTATGGCCAGTTCCACTCATCTGCTGTGGATTTTGTCCCCAACCATCTTCAAAATACTTGGTGGGTTTTTGGCAAAATACTTGGCGTTTTAGTGTTTCTTTGATTCCGGAGTTTGGCCTGTATTAACCTGACTCTGTGGGAGGCAGGGATGCTTTTCCTGTACCAGTTGTCCAAGAACCCTGAAGCTATTTAATCTCAATTGTTTCCTTTCCTCCTACTTCTTGCCAGGGAGTGTAATGTCAGATATGTAAAATGACCTTCAGGGAAATTCATAACACATTTCAGAAATCCCTGTTCCCTCGGACAGCTCCCTGCAAAACTGCCTGTGCTGATGGGGCAATCCCTGCTCACACAGAGGTTTAGGGAATGCAGCAAGGTGAGCTGTACAGGACAGGGAACACCACAACCATCTCCTGGGCCAAGCTGGCCCTGCTTTCATCAGCCACAGCCCTTCTCTGAACTCTGCTGAGCCATTCCCCTCCACACCTGCAGGCAGCAGGTCCCACAGACACGCTGTGCATGTGCTGCAGTGATCTCACCTTCATCCCTGCTGGGTTCCTCGGTGAGGCCACAGCTGGATGGGAGAGCCCCAGGACACATCAGAGAGCAAACAGCAGAGTTCTCCAAGCTACTGCCTCAAAGCCCCCATTGTCACCACCGCCCTGCTGAAGAGTCCCTCAGTAAGAGGTGAGGAACCAAGGAGAGGCCTCAGGCCTTGGCAGGCCCAGGCACCCAGGCCTTTTGCTGACTTGCAGACATTGGGAAAGAGGGAGCCTTGAATCCCAGCCCCTGCTCCATGCACCACATATCTGATTCAGTGAAATGTAACTCATTTAGGGAAGGAAGAGTGTGATGGTGACCTCTGTGCAAGGCAGGACTTGTGGCAGTTCCCCAGGACAGCTCAGCTGATCTCACAGCCTGCAGCTGCCAAAAAGGAGGGATGGCCTTCATCCTGCCACTGCCCCTGGAGCGTCTCACAGGCTGCATGTGTCAACCCAGCAGCCAAGAAAGGAAGCTTTAGCCTAACTTATCAAATTGAACATACAAAGGGTTCAGCAGCTGCTTGAGTGGGAAGTTTGGGTGGGAATGGGAGCAGAGAGTTGAAGCTACAGGACTGCCAATGTCAGCCAGACTCAAACCTTGGCTCCGGGCTGTGAACCCATCCCAATACCAGAGCTAGAGTGGACCAAGGTCTGCTTTTAATCATCCTAAGCACATTTATGGCATATAAACCCCTGACCCATACAAACCAGGCATGCCTTAAATCCACACTGGGAAGCAATTAGACAAAATTGCTATTATTTGCCCCCTTGAACCTTGTTGGAGGGATTGGCTGGAGCAGAGGGTGCAGGTTTGTTACTGTTCCCTCTCAAGGCACTGCTACATCTTAACACAGGATGGTCTCAGGAGTCAAATCTATGCAGACACTAAATAGAAGAATCCATTTTCAAATTAATTTAAAGTGACCTACATGTGGAAATAAGAGTTTCTGCACTGTCTTGGTGTTGACAGAGAAAGGCTGCAAGATGAGCTTTCCCAGGTCCTACGTAAGTGCTTCCCACGCCTGAGGGTTATCTACCCTTATTTTCTAGGAGATGCCACAAGCAACTAGAAAACAGTTTTTCAACATGCTGGATAAAAAGCAGTGAAAATATTTGTGAGTCTGTGAATTTTTATTAGCACAGGAACGGTGCAGCTTCAGCAGATCCCAAACCTGGTGATGTGTCCAGTGAGCAGCAGCTGCTCTTCCCCCAGACCTCCACTACCAGCACAGTGGAGCTGCCTGAGCTCAAATTCCACACAGTGTGCTGCCTTTTCCCCACCTCCTGCCCACCCCCCTGAAATTCTCAGTCACCTCTGGGAACATGAATTAGCCCAGGTACTGAGAGCTGGACTGCACCGCTGTCCCATCACCTGCCCGAGGTCTCTGCCTGTCTGCCTGTGCCACCAACACTGCAGGGCTGTTTCTCATGGTTCCAAGCTGCAGGAACCCAAGACCCTACCTGAGGCTGAATGATGCCCAAGATTGCATGGTATTAAAGCTTCTTCCCAAGAATTCCCATCACACTGTTCATTTCTTCTTAGCATTTCAAGTCTGTGTGATCCTATTTAATATTTAAGAGCCAGCAGAAAGCAGACCTGGATCCATGGAGCATTCAGCTCCCCTCTTCCAGCAAAGAGGAGCAGGAGCTCTGAGCACTCTGAGGGCTGTGCTGAGGTGGATTTTGCTGCTGCCATTCCAACGTGAAGGCTTTGACCTGAGCTCTCCCATCTCTCCAGGGTCTCTACTGGCAGGGAAAGTGGCCACCATCCCCCAGCTCCTCCCAGTGCCACCCACTACTCAGGAATCCACAAGTACCATTTCTTGGAGGTCATTTACTCAGTGTTACTCAAGTTGATTTCCACAGTTCTGCACAGTGGCTCCTTCAAAATGAGACTTGTGCAGTGCAGCATATTTAGGTAACATGGACTGTAATGGGGCATTACAGGTCAGAACACATATCCTAAGAGACAACAATCCAAATGAAAGTGTGAAATTAGTGATGTAATCCCACCATTTTGCCATGTCTGTGCAGAAGCCAAGTGAAGCTCTCTTGTCCTTTGAGGCACATCTCCTTGATGAACCTGTGCAGTCCTTGGGCTTAGGGCTAAGAGACAGGAAGGGCAGGAGGGAAGAAGCAGTTTCCATGACAAATGTCCATCTGACACACTTAGCAAGGACACAGCACAGGATTTGCTTCCTGCTCCAGCGAGGCCCGCAGCCCCCAGACCACAGTTCTGCTTCTCTCCTGCCCTGCTAAATCCTGACTGCCCACAGCAGAGGTTCCTGACAGAGCAGCCCCTGAACAGGCCACACATTAAGGCAGTGTCTCCAAATCGTAGAAGCGCAGGTGCTCAAGCACTGCAGGAAGAAGGGACTTGTTTCTGCCCCTCCTGCTGTCAGGATGCCTCTTCTGGAGACTCATCTGAGGCTGTGCCCGCCCGACAGAGCCCTGCCAGCAAAACTGTTTCATTAGAGGGGCAAGGGAAAGTTCTTCCCACAGACTTGGGGCAGCACACCAACACCCCACCTTGGGTTTGGTGGCACAAACAAGTCCATCACCCAGCAGGGTGACAGCTAAGCCTTCTCAGCTGGGTTAGTACCCAAGTGCTCATGAGCAGAGGACAGTGATATGTCCCACAGTGAGGCACAGCACCAGGGACCCCAAAGCATCCCTGGAGAGCTGTTCTGTCACCCACACAGGGCTCAGCATGGAGCATGAGCTGGGCCAAGATTGCCAGCAGTGATAAATGCAGGGAGAACCATGGCTGCTGCAGCCTCCTTCCATTTTTAACTAACTCTTAGTGCCCACCTTTTAAAAGGCAGAAACCAAAACTGGTCATAATATCCCAGATTACTCTTACCACCAGCTTTTACAGAAGAGAAAGTCCTTCCTGACATCACTGTTTAACACACATACATATGTTCTGACACGCTTCAGCACTGCCTGTCCAATGATTCAGATGCTTTTCAGGTTGGAATCTCTTCACTCTTGCTGCCTGAAAGCTCTATGGTCCGACACATTTTCTTTGTTGGCTGTTCTATCAGCTTATGCTGTCTGCACATTCTACCTGTGTTTTGTTCCCAAGTACTCAGTTAATAGAACTGCACTCATTAGTTGGAATGCCTTACACTCACTTCAGGTGCCACAGCTGTCAGGTGGGTTGAGGTTTTGGAGAACATAAATGTTAGAGCTTGGGGCAGCAAACATTCCTTCTGAAAATCAACAGAAGACGCAGCCTTAAGCCCTGGAACTGCTCTGGCTGCAGGACAACTCAGTGCAGCAGTCCCGTCCTCCCGTTGCCCTGTCCCAGTGCTCCCATTTAGATGGTGTCACAGGGCCACCAGCATGAGAGACATCTCAGCCCCCTGGAACAACAGCAGCCACCGGGGAAGTGGCACAGCAGCCAGACTGGGGCAGATTGGGCTACAAGGCAAAAACGTCACGGTGAGTTGTCCCTGCAGGGTACAGGGACCCTCCCACCACCAACACTCTTCCCGTGTGGGCGCAGGTGAGGAGCTGGCTGTGCCAGGGCTGCAATTCCTGACGCTGCTCAGCCTGTGGATCTGGGAAAGGGGGTGACCAGCCGAGCTGCGGGTCAGTCACACCGGGGAGCAGGCAAGCTGTGGCCAGCCAGGCCACGGGGCAGGCGGGCGCGCTCAGCCGGGCTCCGGGGCGAGCAGCCGCGGTCCGTCCGCAGGGCCGCCCGGCTCGGGCCGCCGGGGCTCCCGGCCGGGCCCGGCGTCACTCGTGGGCCACGCGCTCCAGCGCCACGTAGAAGCTGTCCTTGTCGTCGAGGCAGTGCCAGCCGATGGGCCCCGCCTCGCAGTCGGCGCACACCAGGAACTTGACGTTGCCCACGTCGCGGGTGAACCCCACGTTCTCGAAGGAGAACATGTCGCGCACCAGCCAGTGCTCCCGCAGCACGTCCCCGCCGCCGCCCGCCGCCGCCGCCGCCGCCTTCTTCCTCATGGCGGGCAGGAGGAGCTGCGGAGACACGGGCCCGTCAGCGCGGGGCCGGCAGCCGGGGCCGGCACCGCCCGCCCCCCCGAACCCCCCGGTACCTCACGGCGGGCGAAGGTGGCGGCGCCGGGCAGCAGCACCCGGGAGCCGCAGCGCTGGCACAGCACGGCCCGCAGGTTGCGGCCCTGCGCGCACACGAGCCCGGCCGAGCCCGGCGCGGCCGCGGGAGGAGCGGGGGCAGCGGCCGGAGGCGCCGCCGGCTCCATCTCCGCGCAGGGCGCCGCCATGGCGAGGGGCGGGGCCGGCGCGTGACGTCACGGAGCGGTCTTACGTCATCGCGGTGGCCCCGCCCCTCTCCCATGCCCGCGGGGGTCCGGGAGCTCCGGGCTGGAAATCCTGGATCGGGGATCCTGGATCGGGATCCTGCACTGGGATCCTGGATCGGGAATCCTGGATTGGGATCCTGGATTGGGATTCTGGATCGGGGATCCTGGATCGGGGATCCTGGACTGGGGATCCTGACTTGGGATCCTGGATCGGTAATCCTGGATTGGGATCCTGGATTGGGGATCCTGGTTTGGGGATCCTGCGCTAGGATCCTGGATTGGGGATCCTGCACTGGGATCCTGAATTAGAGATCCTGGATTGGGGATCCTGGATTAAGAATCCTGGATTGGGAATCCTGCACTGGGATCCTGGATTGGGGATCCTGGATTTGGGATCCTGGATTGGGGATCCTGGATTGGGGATCCTGCGCAGGAATCCTGGATTGGGGATCCTGGATTGGGAATCCTGCGCAGGAATCTTGGATTGGGGATCCTGGATTGGGGATCCTGGACTGGGGACCATGGATTGGGGATCCTGGATTGGGGATCCTGGACTGGGGATCCTGGATTGGGGATCCTGCGCAGGAATCCTGTGGTTCCCCCCCTCACACAGCCCCCCGAATAATCAGGCTAGCTCAGAGATCAGAGGCTGTGAGGGGAGGAATATCAGGAGATGGCCAAGATTTCCAAAAGAGGCTCTTACCCCAGGGTGTTGGTTGGTACAGCTCTCTTTATACTGTGGTGTCCATGGGAGAGCGGGGCAAAAGAGGAAGAACAGGAAATCTCAGTGGTCTATATAGGTTTTGGACAGGGTGGGCTTCCGTGGCTCTCCGCCAACCCCATTGGGGCAGGAAGGAGGGATCCACGGTTATCTGATCAGAGTCACAGGGTGCCGGGGAAGGGGAAACAGAATGCCCATGAGCTCACTGTAACAGAATCCTGGACTAGGGATCCTGGATTTGGGATCCTGCATTAGGGATCCTGCACTGGGATTCTGGATTAGGGGTCCTGCACTGGGATTCTGCCCTGGGGATCCTTTCCTGGGGATCCTGCATTGGGAATCCTGCACTGGGAGTGGGCTGAGACCCCAGCATGGGCTGAGACCCTGGCACAGGCTGCCCCTGGATCCCTGGCAGTGCCCAAGGCCAGGCTGGATGGGGCTTGGAGCACCCTGGGATGGTGGAAGGTGTCCATGCCCATGGCAAGGAGGATGCGATGAGTTTTAAGGTCCTTCCCACCCAAACCAGTCTGGGATTTTCTGGTCCCCCAGGCATTCTGGACTGGCAGGAGTTGGCAGTGCCACATCTCTCGTGGCCTGCCCACAGGGACCATGAGGGACAGTCACTTCCTAGGCATGGGAGTCTGGAGATGGTTGGATTCGGGGTTGGAGAAGGAGCTCAGATGATGCTGGACAAAGGGAAATTGTCTCCCTTAAAAGTCTCCACCAATGGAGATATTCCAGAACCATCTGGAAGCCATCCTGTGCTGTGTGCTCTGGGATGGCCCTGCCTGGGCAGGGAGGTGGGACCAGATGAGCCACTGTGGTCCCTTCCCCCCTGACCCATCCTGGGATTCTGTGAAGCTGCAGCACATCTTTGCATGGACTGACTGCATCGGCATTTGGGAGAGCCCAGGCTGCTCTGAAGCAGCTCTTGGGGCTGCTTGCCAGAGAGAAGCCCCTGAGGGGCTGACATGGGCAGCAATGTGTGTTCCTGAGAGGGAGCAGAGATCAGCCTGGCCCACAGAGCCTGGGCAGAGCAGGAGGCAGTGCCAGGGCTCACGGCAGCAGTGCTGGGGGCAAGGTCCTGGGGCCCAGGGGGCTCTGCTGCTCCCCACTGAGCACCTTTGGGCCACTCTGGCTGGTTCCTGCCCTGGGATGCTGCTAACACCCCCCTGTTGGTGTCGAAAAGATTGAAAGAGGCCTTTTGATTGAGCCACTGCTTCTTTGGAGGGTAGGCCAGATCCCAGAAAAGTCCTGATTTGGTGTAAATATGCCCCATCCTCCTGCTGTCTCACTTCTGACTGTCTGCTGCCAAGAGCCCTCAGGAGAAGCCAGAAATGGGAGCTGATATTTGAGGTAAATATTCTCTGATATTCACTAAATAAAGGTGAGGATTTCAGAAGCAGTGAAATATCACCCTGTTCTTCTAAAAGTTTTAAAGTTCTTCTAAAAGCTTTCTATGCCTTCTGATGTTTACATATTTCTACTAGAGCTTCTCATGCATATTCATGTAAATAACATTGTTTTACATTCTTCTTTGTAAAAAGAGAAAATTAATAAACTGTTAGTTTAACCAGTGTAGTTAGACAAGTAACAATTTCATCCTCCAATCTACTACCACTTTTAAAATTCTCTATATTACAAAGTCAGAAATAAAGTTCCCTCCTTTTACTCTCTTTTCCCTCTTTTCCATCTAACGGGAATGTGTTGGTTATTTCATGTTGTAGTACAATGAAATCTGCTGAATCCAGCTGCTCACCTCAGGCTCCAGCCCTGGGCAATGCTGACATGAGCTGGGGTGTGAGTGTAGCTGGGAGACACCACCCCACTCTCCTGGGACCTGTGCAGGTGTTCCTAAGGCAGGGGCAGTGTTTGGGGCATTTCAGCTCCTGAGCCCTGTCCGGGTGTGTGTGGGGAGCCAGAGCAGGACTCGAGAGGGGAGCAGAGCATGAGGAGGTGAGGAGCTCAGCAGTGCCCACTGAGCAGCCCTGGGGCTGCCCTGAGCCAGGCACAAACCAGCCACAGAAAGGGGACAGGGTCCAGTCCTGTCCCACAGCCACAGAAAGGGGACAGGGTCCAGTTCTGTCCCACAGTCACAGAAAGGGACAGGGTCCAGTTCTGTCCCACAGTCACAGAAAGGGACAGGGTCCAGTTCTGTCCCACAGCCAGGGGAAAGGGACAGGGTCCAGTTCTGTCCCACAGCCATGGGAAAGGGACAGGGTCCAGTCCTGTCCCACAGCCATGGGAAAGGGACAGGGTCCAGTCCTGTCCCACAGCCATGGGAAAGGGACAGGGTCCAGTCCTGTCCCACAGCCATGGGAAAGGGACAGGGTCCAGTCCTGTCCCACAGCCATGGGAAAGGGACAGGGTCCAGTCCTGTCCCACAGCCAGAGCCACCTGTCTGGGGGCTCAGGGAAGTCACAGAACTCCCATGCCTGGAGATGCTCTGGACTCAAAAGAACCAAACTGGATCAGGGTTACAGACCACCAGATTGCTCCTCCCAAGTACAGTTATCCTTGAATTCTGTGAGTTCCTTCCTGCTCATGTAGGTGCCAACACCATTTTGAGAAAAACACCCCAGAACATTCCTGAGAGTTCAAAGCCATCCCTACCCTGGCAGCTGACTCGGGCTGCCCCGGAGGCACCTGAGCAGGGACAGTCCACCTCAGTGTCACTTCTCTCTCTCCAGAGCTTCAGAGCCTCCCCATGGGTCACTTCTGGCCCAGACCGTGACATTCACATTCTCTAGACAGAGAGACAATTCTGTCTCTCAGGAGGAGCACAGAGAAAAGAAGAGAAAACAATCTTTATCTCTGCTCCTGTGTTCTCCCCATGTGGAATGTGGTGTGGAGATTGTTCACCTGCAGTGATTGCTGGGTTGGATTCTGGTGAAGGTTGTTTGGGCTCAATGACCAATGGATCCAGCTGGGTTGGACTCTCAGCAGAGAGTCACCAGTTTGTAGTTAGGTAAGTAAGAGGTATGTATATAGAATAGTATAATATCTCTTTAAAGAGTATCTCTTTAAATGTACTATAGTATAGTTTTAATAAAGCAGATCCTTCAGCCTTCTGATCTGGAGCCAGACATCATAATTTGTTCCTTGAGCTGGGGTTCTCAGTGTTTTTTACAATACCAGACCAGCGAGGAAGGCTCTGCTCCTGCCCAAGCCTCTGCTCTGCAGGAGGGTCAGTGGGGGAGGCCTTTCCTTCCCAGTCTGTAGCAGAACATGCAGGGACACATTTGTAAGGTTGCCTGGTTGTACCACGTGTGAACATCCTCATTTTGGGGGGAACAAGGGCTGTGAGGGGTGAAATCCCAGCCAGATGCAGGGGGAAGGTGAGTCCTGCTTGCCCTGGGGAGGCTGGTGCAGGGTGCAAATCCCCACTGCCAGTGCTGCCTCTGCTCTAACCTTGTCACATTAATGTGAGATGTGCACTTCTGACACGGCCCCAGCCCGTAACCTCCGAGTGGCACAACACCAGCTGATGTCTCCAGCTTGTGGCCCGAGCTGCTGCTGGGCTGGGCTGGGCTGGTCAGGGCTGGTGGCTGGAGTGGTGTCTCATTGTTACAGTCCTTGTGAACAGTTCAAGAGGTAAAGAAAAACCCACTAATAGTATCCTTGGTCAATTCTTAAATCTTGGATAGGAGCTTTCTCTATTGAAAACTCACACTTAATTCTGCCTTTTAGCATTTTCTGCTGGATTATTCATGAAGCAAAGCTTCATTCTTGCTGGCCAGGGAGAATCCCTACCAGCTTCCTCCCAAGCAGAACATTTTGTCCCTTTGTTTTGCGTTCAGCGGGAACCTGGACATTTTCTCATCTCCACCACCAACATGGAGCATTTTGAAGATTTATATTGCACATTACCTCCCTGGAAATGCCAGTTCCTTTTCCAACCCTTCAGTACATCCTGTTGTGGAAAGGCAGGGATGGGTCTGCTGGCCACTCTCACAGGTCACATCCTGCTGTGATCCAGGTCTGATGCTGCTGCTTCAATCTGCCTGACTTTCTGCCCAACCACACACTGGACACGTCACTTTTGGAGCTGAATCCTCCTGATCCCTCTGCAGGAGAGCAGGGCTCCTCAGGGAAGGGAGAGGAGGTACTGACAGCTCCAGGGTCAGTATCAGAGCCTGGGAATTCCCCTGCACTGCCTGCACCCTGCAGGTGTCAGAGGGGCACAGGTAGGACAGATCCACGGATGGGACCAGTGAGTGCTGCACTCCCCAAATGAGGCCTGTTCCCTTCTTTGCTTCCCCACTTCTTGCTGGCTGAAGAATGATGGAGCAGTTTGGGGACAGATGTCAGGAGACGCTCCTGAACATCTGGAGTGAGTGGTGAGCTGTTTATGGGGGGACTGGATAGTAGGTGGAGGATTTGGAGCCATCAGAGGCTCCTGGGGCAGAATGCTGCAGTTTGCCCTGAAACCAACAGTCTGTCTTTTGCATATGGACAAATTAATTAATGCTGGGCTCCATTCATCCCACATGCCCATGGTAGACAAAGGAGCTGTAATTTTTTTGCAACTGCAGCTCTACTGTAACAGTATTGGAATTATGGAATTGTTTAATTTAGAAAAGGCCTCTAAGATCATTGAGTCCAACCATTTCCCCAGCACTGCCATGTTCACCACTAAACCATGTCCCCAGGGGCCACATCCACAGGTCTTCTGAACACTTCCAGGGATAGTGACTCCACATGGCCCTGGGCAGCTGTGCCAGGGCCTGATCAGCCCATCAGGGAAGAGATTTCCCCCAATATCCCACCTGAACCTCCCCTGGCCCAGCCTGAGGCCGTTCCCTCTCTTCCTGTCCGTGTTCCCAGGGAGCAGAGCCCGGCTGTCCCCTCCTGTCAGGAGTTGTGCAGAGGCACAAGGCCCCTCCCCGAGCCTCCTTTGCTCCAGGCTGAGCCCCTGCAGCTCCCTCAGCCGCTCCTGGTGCTCCAGCCCCCTCCCCAGCTCCGTTCCCTGCCCTGGACATGCTCCAGTCCCTCAATGTCCTTGTGAGGGTCCCAGGACTGCTCCCAGGGTTGGAGCTGTAACCTCAGCAGTGCACAGTGCAGAGATGGTCACTGGCTCTGCTGGTCACACCATGGCTGGTACAAAACTGGTGTCATTTGCCTTCCTGACCACCTGGGTTCATGTTCAGTCCCTGATTATTGATTATTTCTATTGACTGTAATCATAGTCTTTTCCTCCTCTCAGCTGCCACGCTCTTCTCCAACAGACCCTGCAAGAAATTCCCTCACCAGGGAGTCCTTCAGGCCTGGCTGGACTCTGTGCCATAGATCTGACAGCTGGAGCAGCTGTTTTTCATTACTAGGCTGAAGCTGCAGGGCAGAGACACAGCTGAGGGTAGCTGCCTGTCTAACACGAGATTTGCACAAACCCTCCACATAGTAGTCAGACATATGTCTGGAAGGTAGAGAACAGAAGCTAAACTCCTACTGGCTCAGGAAATATTTTATTCTTTATACTTTCATTAAAAAATAAACATAGGAAACAAAACCACAGAACACTTGTGTGATAGAAACAAACGCAGAAGGTCAGAGCATTGGCTGAAAGTGCATAATTAGGTCATGCTACCACGTCCCTGATCCCACCCTGTCCCCAAGCAAGGAGTCAGCAGGAAGCTCAACGAGCAGCACTACATGGAGCCCAGGCACTGTGGGGCCAAGCTGATGGCAGAGGGGAGCCCGTGCTCCCAGGGACGCAGTGAGGCAGGACATGCTGAGCAGGGAGTGCTCCATGAGCTGCTGTGAGCCACCGATGGAGCCTCACCTGGGCTCATGTGGCAGGCCAGGGATAGCAAGTGCCACAGGATGTGGAGTTATGAGTCAGGGGAATAAACAACTGAGAACAAAGGGTGAAACAGAATCCTGGATGTCACTCCAGAACAGCCCTGGAAGCAGAAAATCCCTAGATAAAAGGAAAACAAACACAATGAACTCGAATGAAAGGCTGCCTTGGGTGTGCTGGACTCAGCATTTTGTGTGGGACAAACCCCAGTGACTCACTCAGCAGGACCTTGGTGGGCAGCACCCACTGTGTCCCTGCTCTCCCGGCCTCAGCTCAGGTGACCTCCTCACAGGGTGGGGCACAGGCACGGCCAAGCTCCCAGTGCCACACATCATTCGCAGCTGGAACTGTCAAGCTTTTTGAGGAAACACGATGTGATGAACCTTGCTGAGCACCTGATCAAGAGCACAAACACTGCAGACGCTTCTGTGGCAGGCAACGAGCTCCTCCCCTGCCCCTGGCCCTGTGGCCTCAGGCTCTGATCACAGCAGCTGACAGCTTTAACCTTGACTCCTTTGTGTGCAGGACCCTGCAGACACACTGCCAGTGCAGGCCCCTCACACACAGCAGCCAGCCCGGCCCTGCAGCCACGCGTGCTCGGGGAGCACGTTGAACACTCAGTACACGATGATTTGAAGCTGGAACATAAGAGCAGCTGGACTCACCCTCACACGTCCACACGTCTGAGAGCGACCCCACGACCTGCAGGGTCCTGCGGTGGCTGAAGAGGTGACGCAGGGGTATGTACATGTCCTTGGGAGGGGTCACCAGGCTGGCTGAGACCAGGCTGGGGCAACTCTGCCCACAGACTGAGCCACAGGAACAGCAGAGAGTGCAGCTTCTCCTGACACATTCATCCCCTTCCTCCAGCTTCCCAGAGAGCCCCTGATTTCAAATGACTGCTGAGATCACACAGTTATGCACATGCTCTAGTCACAAGCAGCACAGAAAGCTGCTGTTCTGGTGCCCATTCCCACAGCATCCACAACTCTCAAGAACAGTCACTGCAAATCATTTGGGACTCTTCCTCCAGCCGAGACTTTTTAGAATGTTTTTCTTTGTGAGCTCCCTCCTGATCACTTCTCCCGAAGGACGCAGACCCCTGCGTCGCAGCGCTGCATGCCCAGGGAGGTGACCACTTCCCAGCTGTCAATGATGGGGTCGTAGCACTCGATGCTGCTCAGCAGTGAGTTGCCATCGTATCTGCCAGGACAGAAAGTTACAAATGAAGGATGGTGCTGGAGAAGAGGCTGAGGCAGTCACAGCTCCTCCCGGGAGGCTGGAATAGCCTAAATTATAACCCCTGCATCAGGCTGCCATTGCTCTGTGCTGCCGCTCTCCCGCCTGCCTGGGCCCCGGACCTTTTGCTGCCTGTTTTGGCTGGGCACGGTGACCCCGTGGGTGTCTCCTCTCACAGAGGAGAGGCTCCGTGGAAGAGGCAGCAGCTGTGTCTCCTTGTTATGAACAAAACAGCCTTGCTGGAACACTTCGGCTTGGGCTAAGTACCGGCATTGAAATGTTAATTAGCTAATTGCTCCTGGGAATCACCTACAACCCCGCCTACACTAGGACCTGGATGCAAAATAATCCAGTGGAATCATGGGAGGGGGTTTTGGGGATGAAAATCACCCCTAAATGGAAAAGATGGGCACAGTGGAGGGGGCTGGATGGGTGAGCACGTTGGGGAAAAGGGAACCCCATCCCTAGTCTGTGTTTGCACCATAACCTACAGAGGACCAGACTGGACTGGGCTGTGGGAAGCAGGAGCAAAGCACACGCACACTTCCTGGTGTTACCAGGAGGGAGTAAAAGAGGACGGCCTGCTGAGACTCCAAATACAGACTGCACACCTCTTTACCTCCAACTACCAGCGTGCCACTGGGACCCCTGCGAAGCTGAGTTTTCATAAAGAGCTGACTATTAATAAAGGCATAGATCCTGTTCATTTCACTCTCACAGAGTCACCTGCTGAGCACCCAGAGCCGCAGGGCCCCTGGGCTTACCCGGCGATGGCGTAGAGCCGGCCCCGCAGCACGGTGGCCCCCACGTAGCAGCGGGGAGTGGTCATGCTGGTCACCGTGGTCCAGGAGTCGGTGCGGATGTTGTAGGCTTCCACCGAGGAGAGGTGGGCTGTGCCATCGAACCCACCCACCACGTAGATGTGGTCATTGAGCAGAGCCACGCCAGCCCCTGCGGAGGGAAGGTGGCACAGTCACACCCACAAGTGACACCGGTGCTCGCTGCCATGAGGGAACAGGTCAATTCCTCCCTCTCCACAGGACATGTTTATGCTTGTACCTCCCCCAAAAGAGCTGATAACTGTGTCTTCTGTTGTCTCCAAAATGAAACATGAAAACATCTCACTCCACTAAACACTGCTGACCCTGTGGCATGGGGACCTAGGCAGCACAAGAGCTTTACCTGGGCTGACACCTGAGCACAGGTGTGTGAGGAGAGCAGCACCAGGCCCGCTCTGCTGGCAGGCAGCTGCCTGGGACTGTCAGCCAGGGACAGGTTCCTCTGGTGTTTCTGACTCCCTGCTGTCACCCAGCTCCTGGCTGTGGCCTGGAGAGTAGCTGCACACTGCTCCATGCAAAGCTGAGGAAGGATTTCCCTGACATTACTCCTCTGGAAGACAAAATGAAAACTGGTTTCTACACTGTTGCAGAGGCAGACATGGCTGGAGCAGCTGCCTGAACAGGTGTTCTCACAGTGAAGGCAGACAATAATATGCTGCTCCAACTGGGAATTTATGAAACCAGCAGCAAATAACCCCCACCAGCCTTAGTTCCTTCTTGGCACCCCCCTCAAGTGCAACACAGGAGGACACTGTGACATTACCATGCCCTCGGTAGCCTCAGGGGGCTCCTGCACAGTTGTCACCACCCACATGGAACTTCTGCATTAATGAATATCCTGAAGGAAATGAGCCAGCTACCCTGGCATGGATCTGTTTCTTTACAAACAGGGTATAAGAGACTTTCTGTTCCACTAAACACATCCTGGCTTTCCTGTCCTTCCTTGCTGAGAGCCACAGAACAGCTGGGAATGGCCAAGCTGGCCCAGTGGGCTCTCCAGGAGCTTCGGCTGAAGAGACCAAACCAAGGCCTAATCAGGGAAGTTTGGTCCAGCAATGCACTATGGCCAAAGTCTCTGAAAGGTAGCCTCCCTCCAGAATCTGCCCTAAGAGGTGAAAAGAAACAAGGAGGAAATGATCTCTGTGAAAAAAGCCAAGATTACTCTCAGTCCTGGTCTTGGAATTCAAACACCTGCACGTGGATAAATCTTAGAGGGTTTTTTGGGGTGTGAGTGCTGGGGTCCAAGGTCACCAGCACTCACACCTAGAGTTGTGAGTCACCTAGGGTGTGAGTAATTAGGGGTGTTATTACCAGAGTGGCAGCACAAAAACTTGAGCAAAAAAAGGCCTCTGGGCACACCCATGTTTCAGATCTTGGTACTCCAGATCACAGCGGCAAGGAAGGAACCAGTGCTGGGTCAAGAGCCTCACCAAGTTCCTGCTGGCTTGTGGCACCAAGGAGCTCATGCTGCAGCCAAGGCACAGCTACTAAAGCCTCCAGCTCCTGTGGGGAGCACAGACCTGGGAAATGCCTGTTCTAGAAAAGTTGAAGTCTGCTTCTGGTCTTAAAATCAGCCTTCAGCCTTCTCTGGTGCTCAAAGCAGGCCCCATCTGATCAGCAAGCTTCCCAGAGATTCACGGATTGACCTCCATGGTGCCTCTGACCTAGAAAAACCTGCAGATTTTATCCTGTGTTTTATATGTATGGCCTTCCTGGATGTGGAAAGTACCCAACTCCTAAATCAAATCCATTCTTGGCAGATAAACCAACACTTAACAAGAATATCCCAGTCACAGGTATAAATATTTAAAGGTTGGAGGTTTGGTGAATGCCACTGCAGGCACAAGAAAACGGAAATGTTTTTGGGACAGAGCCCAGTTTTATTGAGCAGCCAGTACTTGTCCCTAACCAGGACCACTGCACAGGGATCACATGGAGTAGTGCTGCCCAGGCTGGCTGTGAAGGCCAGTTATTGAACGAAGCAGAGAAAAAGCAACTTCAAAAGGGATTTAGAAGAGGCTCTAAGCACATAACTGTAAGCACTGGGAGCCACACAGGTGTGGAGGCACACAACAACTTTCCTGTGCACACACAGGCAGGGCCAGGGCAGCCCATCAGCATGGCCTGGAGGGCAGGGCAGGAGCCTGAGGCACACAGCAAGAGCAGGAGGGCAACACACCTGGGCACACAGGAGCTACAGGAGCCCCACGACAACCCCTCTGAGAAATGGAGAGTTTAAACAGAAAGAGTTTAAACTCCTACTCCAAAAGTAGGATTTAAACTGTATTTTTGTCCTAGATACAAGTGCCAACTTAAAGCTTGGATAGAACACCAGGCAGAGAGACAAGCGAAGAGTTGTTGGGGGATAATTATTGTGTGACTGCACCATTGGTGTAGCTGGGTGACAGTGATGTGGCAGTGCTGCCCTGGAGCAGGGCTCAGGTGAGTAGCCTGGCAGGGCACACCTGCCTTCACCATGTCCCGTGCAGCTGACAAGCACTGACCCAGTGCTGTGGTCAGTTTGTGCCTTGGGAGCTCTTCTCCACGGCAGGCCTTGCTCCCAGCTGTGGAAGTCACACAGCATTTCATCTGCCACCCTGTAACCTGTAACCCTGCCACAACATTCCTCTATGCACACCTTGGCTTGGGATGGAGGCATGTGAAATTACTATTTCTTTTAGGAATTCAAGCCAGTAAAATCATCCTTTCTCAAAGCCAACCCACCCACTGGGGCCAGAGCATCCTCCAGGGCAGCAGAACACACCAGCAGTGACTGCTCCCCCACTGCAACAGGAAACACACTGACCTCAAGGCACTGTGGGTGTGGATGTGACAGTCTGTCAGAGACAGAGAAAGCTAGATAAGCTTTCCCATGAACTGGTCTGAGGGAGCTGGAGAGAAAGAATGATAGTCAAATACTAAAGAATCCACAGGTGGTGTTTGTAGCAAGTTATTTTCCCATAAGGTTGTTTACAGATGGGTGTCTTCATAATTAGCCAATGGTGATGGTGTTTGATTAAAGGACCAATCAGGTCCACTTGTAGTGAACTAGAGTATAAAAAGGAATGAGTTCCTAATGAAATTGTTGTTAGCCTTCTGAAAACACATGGTGTGTGTCACTCATATATCTTGTAATTTCTGACTCAACAGTGACACAGTGGGCTCTTACCTGAGCGCTTAGTGGCCATTGGAGTGACATTTGTCCAGTGTCCAGTGTGGGGGTCATACCTCTCGACAGAATTCAGGATGTTCAGCCCATCGTAGCCTCCTGAAACAAAACACAGGAGCAAACCACGGGGCTCACCTGGGGAGAACGTTTCTGTGCAGAGAGCAGTACCATTGCTGGCACAGCGTGGCACTGCCATCAGCACAGCCCATCCTGCTGGGACAGAGGATCCTGCAGCCAGCCCAGAGCCAGCTCTGCCCCCACACTGCACTGGGCCATGTGGGAGAGCTGCCTCTGAGCACACTGAGGCCACTGCTGGTGCAGCCCTGCAGATGTGCAGCTCCCAGGTCTGTGCTGCAGTTGCACGAGGCTGAATGGGGTGGGCTGGGATCCCTCAAGAGCTGTTTCACAAGCAGATACTAAAATCTCTGTGCAGCCCCAGCAAAGGAGCAGTGTGCTGCCATCCACCCTGGGGAACAGCATGAAGAAGGGGAATGAATGTGGTTGGTTCATTCAAGGCCAGGTTGGGCAGGGCTTGGAACAACCTGGTCTGATGGGAGGTATCCCTGCCCATGGCAGGGGGTGGAATGAGATGAAGTCTCTTCCAACCCAAACCATTCAGTGGTTCTATGAAACCAGTGCCTAAGATCTATGACTGCCCAGGAGCACAGCTGCAACAGATGTGGGTGCAACGCTGGGCCTGCCTTCTCTGGGGCCTAGAAGGTGACCCACAGCAGAAGCTTCGGAGTGCTTTGTCCTCTGGCAATCTCACTATATTCACAGCTGATGTAATGCTCTGAAATGGAAATGAGTGCTACAGGCAGAAGCTGGAGAACAGACAGCTCAGGATACATTTCTGGAGCACTACAGCCACCACTGCAGGTACACCCTCTGTTCCCACAGCTACCTGCTGCATCTCTGCACATTTAGACACTGCCAGGCCACACAAAGCCTCAGCTGGCATTGCTTATCCTCCACACTTCTGCCATTCCTCAAATGCAGTGTGTGTAAACTGTGTTTAATTTGCAGTGCACAGCATTCCCTGCAGTGATGTGGCAGCTGCTATCCAAGGCATTCTGAAGGGAACAGTGAGGTCAGGCAGCACTCACTGACACAGCTGTGAGTGCTGTGAGGTTAAACCTCTTCCAACATGGACGTGACAGGTTGGGGCTGCTCAGGCAGCACTTGAACGGTCACTTGGGTAAAAAGGCAGGCCCTGCACAGCTCCCAGAGGTGCTGAGGGTACCTACCCAGGCAGTAGATGACTCCGTTGGCCACCACGAGCCCCGCTCCCTCCCGTGCTGTCTGCATGTCCCCCAGCATGCTCCACTGGTCGATGTTGGGGTCGTAGCGCTCCATGCTGGTGTGACGGCGGCTCCCATCGAACCCACCCGAAACATAGATCATGTCTGCAGGGACAGAGGTGGGACCCAGCCAGTCAGCCAGGAGCATGGAGCACCAGGGCCTTCGCACACAGAGCAAAGCCACAACATGGACTGCAAACCACAGAAAACAGACCATGGCACACTGGGAGCCAAGATGAACCCAGGCTCCTCAGCCTGGCTCATGGGCCCAACAAACGAACACGAGTTCCATCTGGACCTTAAATCTGCTAAATCCAGTTTTTTTTTTTTTTTTTTTTTTCGTGCTGCACAACCACTGAAACACTGCCATGCCCAAACCCAAACCCTGCCCATGGCGAGCCTCATGTGAGTACCTGCCCAGTCCTCACTCCTTCCCTGCAGATGTTCCAGTCACTCCAGTTCTGGATGGTCACAGCTGTGCTTGGTGTCCTGTGCTCAGCGTTGCCCAACCCTGTCACCACCCTCGGAGCTTCCCACTCCATAATCTCTCACAGAGCCCCTTTCCCCCAGTTCACAGACACATGCTGCAGGAATGCAGCGGAGGCAGAACTCCTCTCAGGATATGTGGGCAAGTTTTCCATTTCTGCATCCCAGTGATGAGAAGGCAGAATCTCAGGCTTCCCTCCTCCCCCAGAGCCAGCCTACTCTTCACACAGCAGCTGAGGACATCTCAGGCTGTTCTGCCTGGCAGTGACCAGGACGCACCTCCAAGGGTTGTGGCTCCCGCCAGCCCTCGGCGCACGTTCATGGGAGCCACGGAGTACCAGATGCCATCCTCATCCGAGGTGTAATCCAGGCACTCCACGGAGCTGAGGCGGGAGCGCCCGTCGTAGCCCCCGATGACGTAGATGCGGTCGTGCAGGGACACCGTGGCCACGTATCGCCGCTTGCGGGTGATGCTCTGGGACAGCAAAGCAACACCAAGGTCACTGACAGACACAAATCTGGGCACAGAGACCAACCACTGCTCTTCTGCTGCTCCTCTGGGAGATGGCTCACTGCCCCAGGGCAGGCAGCACTACGGATTTAAAGGACACAGCCTGAGTGACTGTGCCTGCCTCCCCCTGCCATGCTCTCTTCCCAGGACTGTGTCTCTCTGCACTCAAATATTTCACACTAAATGTCATTTATCCTGTGCTGCTGCGTAACTTCTGATGCATTTGGGACAATTTTGTTAGCCTCCCACTGGCAATGGGAAGAAGTAGGGACTCTGAATATTTGATGAAGCTTTCAGCCTCCTAAAAAGATCAGAATTTTGGAACACCAGGTGATGCTGAGTCTGCCCTAACAGGTGATACTGAAGAAAAGGCAGTTCTCCACTATTTCACAGAGATAAAGGGGATTTTAATTTGGGTAGAAATAGTCCTCAGTGCAGGAATTCTCTCTTCCCATTATGCTCCAAAACGCTGCAAGCAGTGGGATCACGCAGCAGCCTGAAGACTGCACAGATTACATTGTTCCTATTGACATTCCAATTATCATCACTAACCTTAAAGCTTCACACCCCTTCACTAAGAAACATGATCGTTCTCACTCCCACTACCAACATGTGGGTCTCTGCAGGCTCAGCTGATCAGGTCTATGACAACAACCCCCTCTCCCTCAGTCACTCTGCAAGCTGAAGTGGTTTCAGCATTCACCATGTAAATCTCTAAAGAATTTGTCAGAAATCCTCAGCAGATTGCACAGGACAGCCCAAGGAGATTGTTATCCAGCTGGTGCTGCAGGATCAGAGTTTGCTCACAGCTTGGTCAGCCCAGTGGTGGTCGGAACAGTCCCTTACCGGCAGGAAACTCCACTCCTGGGTCTTGGGGTCGTATTTCTCCACCACATCAATGGGGGACTGCTGGCTGCCAAAGCCGCCGATCACGAGTAGCACTTCGTTAGCTCCTGAGGCACAGAGGGACAGCAAAGCCAAGTCAATCTTTTCACAACTAAAGGGTCACTTCAGGGGAACAACCTGAAGAAACTCTGAGCCTTCCCTGGCACAAAGCTGCCTCTAAATCCCTGTTTTTGTCTCAGCTCTGGAGAAGGGACCTAACCTGGCTCAGGCACTCCCACTCCCTCTGTGCTCAGCAAGAAAGAGAGAAACTCTTCAGAGCATGTGGCAGACAACTGACTGAGATGTTAGGAGCTGGTTGCTGACAGGCTGTTTCTCCTAACATCAGAGGCACTCTGAAAAGACAAGCTCCCTCAGACAGGTGCTGAAGTTCACTCCTTTGTATCTCCTTTTGTACCCTTTCCACTGTTTTTCCCAAACCTCTCACCACCCCACAGAATCTGTAGGAGAGTGGCTGCTTCCCTGCAGCCTCCTCACAACACAAAGTCTCCTCTTGGTCTCAAGTGATATCCAGGCCTGATTCAGGGGACTTTGTTCACCACGTAACTGAGAAACAAGTCAGGCTGTCTGAAGCTTGAAAAACTAATTAAATATTTTCCCAGGGCTTGTCTCTTAAATATTATGTATTTTATTTCAAAAATGCCTTCCCTTTATTTTCTCTGAGATGAATTCTCTGAATTTTTCTTATTTCCTTCATGACTGTTAATAACAACTGTGACCTGGAGAATTGTAGCTTCCCTTCTAATCACTGCCTGGAAGCAGGCTTCTGTCTCAGGTTTAGAACAGCTCAGCATCCCCTTGACTCCTTAGGCCCTTTCTGGAACAGGGAGTTTATCACTAGAATTTAGGACTGTCCAGCCTTTCATTGCAAAAGGACTGAACACCAAGCAACAAACATTTAACAAGACTTTGTCTGTCACAAAGCAGAAAAGCTGCCACATCAGATGAAGAAGAATATAAAAAATAACTGGGAAGGATTCACAAGAGCTCCAAGATCTTGGAAAGCCTCCCTTCCAGTAAGAAAGCTAAAAGTACAAGCACTTCAGCTCCTCCCATGCAAACTTAATACAGGCCTTGATCACAGTTTGTAAGTGACACATTGCTGATATCAGATAGTATAGAATAAATTAAAACAGCTAGGGCTGTATACAAAGGATGAACCTCAACAACAATGTGCAGTTTTAACCCATACAATTAGACAATAAAATGGTTTTTAAATGTCTTTTTTATCAGGTGAAGTATTTCAACTAAGAATAAAATGAAATGTGCTTTTATAAAATCATAGAATCACAAAATGGTTTGTGTTGGAAAAAATTTTAAAGCTCATGTCATTCATGTTCAGGGACAGTTTGCACTGTCCCAGGTTGCTCCAAGCCCCGTCCAACCTAGCCTTGAACACTGCCAGGGATGGGGCAGCCACAGCTGCTCTGGCAACCTGTGCCAGGGCCTCAGCAGCCTCACAGGGGAGAATTTCTTCCCTAGATTTCCCTTTTCAGTGTGAAAGCACTCCCCATTGTCTGATTGCTGCAGCTTCTGATCAAGAGTCCCTTCCTGGCTTCCTTGTAGGTCCCTTCAGACACTGGAAGGCTGATGCCAGCAACTGGCAGAGCTGAAGTGCAGGTCTTTGAAACTGGCATCGAAATTCCCACAAAATGTGCTGAGGCCTGGATCATTCAGGAACAGCAGAACAGCATTCCCTTCAGGCCAGAAAAGTCTGATCAGCGTGTCTCTGACAAACCTAATCTGCCCTCCTCCTTTTGTGGTTAAACTGCTTTCTGTCTCCTAAAAGAGGCCACAAAGGGATTTTGGAATCTCTCTCGACCACACCTGCAGCAGCACTGGAGAACACACACGGAGGATTCCTTGCAGGGAGGGTGGTGCATACTGGCACTGATGGCAGTGTCCTGGGAGTGCACCAGGACACAGGCACGGCACAGAAGAAGCAGGTCATTCCTACTTTTATTTTGCTCTTGGGTGCTCAGAGCCCTAAGACAAGCATTTTCCAAACAACTCAGTGACTGTGCTTGCTAGAAGTTACTAAAATAAAGGAAGATAACACCATTTATTTGCCTTAACAAGGTTATGGAGAAAAAAAAAAAAGCACTTCTAAAGGAAAAGAGGGACATCTCCATCTCCCTCCTTGCACCTTCTCCTGTTCAATTCTCTGTGGAAACTTGCTGTCACTGTAAGGCAGCTGCTGCTCTGGACTCCGATACCTGCCTCTTCAGACAGGAAGAAACTCTTCCCACAGTTCCTGGACAGCTGCATGCTGGGACAAACGTATCTGCAGGCACCAGCAACTCAGGAAACTGTTTTTAAGGCCTCAGGAGGGACTTGGGTTTAAAGGCAATCAGCTAGTCCCCACACAGGCACTAAGCAATCTGTAAACCTCTTTAACAGGTGACTCTGTAAAAGAGGCACCTCTGTCCTTTGCTCCAGTCCGCTCACTGTCCCACTGGGGACTATGGGACAAGTCACTGCTGTGAAGAACATCAACACAGTTACAAAGCACTAGTCAAGGTGTCTGACACAACACCTGCCAGTGCCCTGGCCCCTCTCAGGGTCCTTTCCTCTGCTGCTCACCCAGACGTGCTCGTGTCCTGGGTCCTTGCATCTGGCTCCGGAGCTCAGGCCGAAGGTGGAATTTCTTGGCTTCGTCCACGAGGTCTCTGCACTGCAGGCTACAGCGTATAAAAGGCTGGGGAGAAACATGAGTCACTGGTACATGCAGTGTATTTTAAGAAACCTCAGAGGAACTGTCCTAAAGCCAACTCTCATCAGCTCAGACAGCATGAAAAGGACTTGTGTCCTGGTCCTGGTGCAGATACTGCATGCAGGGAAATGCAAAGGCAACTGAAGACCAGACTGCAGCTGAGAAGATATGGCTCCGTCCTCACAGTCTGGCACTGAAGGCTTCTTAAACAAAAAGGCTGCATTAGAACACTAAGGAAAAGCCACTTCTGCTCCATTTAAGCCACCAGAAGTATGATTAGAAAGGGGAACTGGCAGTGAAACCACACTTGATCTGCCCCACATAACTTGTCCTGACCTGCTACTAGAGGAGAGAGGGACAGCACAGCACAATGAAACTATTTAGCTGATTTACTGCCCTGATCACTTTGCACATGGGACGTGGAGTTGTGAAGAGGCAACAGGAAACTGAGGTCTTGTTGAAGAGTGAGGGACACCCAAGGACAGCCTCATCTCCTTGCACAATGTTGTCTAATTCCCTTCCCTAGCTGAGGGCCTGGACCAACCTCCCTTCAGCTTGGCACTCATTTTCCCATGGGTGTTGGGTGTACATGCTGCTTCAGTATGTTCAGATTTACCTCGGCAGGTTCCTGGTGTCTGTGTGAGGCAGCCACATGGGGCCAACGCTCCACTCTCCATACTGGCCCAAGCTGGAGGATGTACCACCAGTGTGTGGCACTGCCAGACTGGACAGATCACCCTCCACGTTCACTCTGAGAGCTGAGGGCTGTACACACTCTATCTTGGGCTGGATTTGGAACAGATCTATTTGTTTTGGTACCAGTCCCTTTTCCATTAGCTTAAATTTCAGTTTGAGGTGGACCATGACAATCTGACTAAGTGCCCTTTAGCTCTGGCACAACGTACCACAACAGCCCATCAGGCTGTCCTGATTTAATAACATCCATGATCTATCACATCCGAGATGACTTGCTATATCAGCTTTTTCCTGACATAGAGAAACATCTCTCATTCACCATTTGGCACCTGTCAGGTGACAAGGGCAAGTAACCCTTGAGTACATCCTATCACCATCTAACCTGAAGGTTGGTTTGACCTTCTCTGGGCCTTCCTTTGAAATCTTGCCTGGAGCCAGCATCACTTTCTCTCTGGAATTAAACTGGCACTTGAAAGCTTAATTGTCGCTTTGCATCGTCCCCATTTTGGGCTGCCTCTGCAGCATCCCAGAACACAAACCAGCAGCGTTAGCCATGGCTCTTGGCTGTGTGTTGGTCCTGGACCCACACAGCTGCTGTTTTTCACTCAGAGGTACTTGCTGGCCCTCTGCACCTCAGACACCTTCTAAGAAGCCATGACCTCTTTGAGACCAATGCCAGCAATCTTCAGCCTGGGGAAGGGGACCAGACAGAACTTAGGAATGAAGGCAGAAAGCACTTGGAGACTGTAAGAGATGACAAGAGAAAGGTGCTGTGGATATCTGCAGAGACAGCTGGCTCATGGCTCTGGAGAGGGCACCCTGCGGCTGCAGAGCCGGATGCTGTGACTGCTGGCACAGCAAACACAGCTCAGCGTGACAGCAGCGCTGGGGCTGAGCAGGGACAGCTGCACAGTGCCACCAAAGAGTGGCAGCAGAGAAAGAGCTTTGCAGACGCTCTGGGGGCAGCAGAGCCCAGGCAGGAGCAGGCAGTGGCTGCTGTACCTCGGTGTCGATGACGTCGGTGATGTAGCGCGGGGTGAGCAGCGGCATCCGCACGTACTGCAGCAGCTCCGGCAGCGACGCCTCGCGCTCCTTCTTCGAGTGCTTCACCCAGTTGATCACCGCCTCGAACACCGGCTCCTCCGAGTCCACCTGCAGACAGGAGCACAGCCTGATCAGGTGGCAGCACAACGCTGGAGCTACTGCCATGGAGCACACCACGTCCAGCTGCTGCACTGCTTCACAGCGAGCAAGGGAGCGAGGGGCTTCAGCTACAAGTCCCTTAGGGAAATCCCCATAAGCATAGTGAATTCCCTCATTTTCTTTTCCTTAAACCTGCATTTGCTTTTTCTCCTGCAGCTGAGATAACTATGGGCAGTCCAAGTGCCAGAGCAGTGAGTGCTACGGCGCGGAGCAGAGCCTGGAGCTGAGAGCTCCCTCCACTGACCAGTGGGAACTCACAGGACAGCTCCCCCAGTTTTCTGGAGCAGGAGCTGTGATCCAACAAAATTCAAAGTGTTGTCAAAGAGATGATCAGAATCATGTTTCCTTTGCACAGCAAAGTGTCTGCCTTAGGCCCCGGCAGCCCTGTGCCTATGCACTGCCCCTCAGACACTCCAGACAGAGCAAGTAGATTTAAGGTTTCAATTCACCTTTTAAAAACTACAAAGGATTTCAGAGTAGTGAATCCCAGGGCATGAATGCTACTGTTTATTTCTAGTATTTGTTTTATTTTATCACTACTTTATTTCTGCCTCCATTTAGGACCAGCACATGCTGGTGCTTACACCACTTCTGGAGATTACACTGACTAAATAATCCAGATTTGATCCTGTTAGAGAACCACAGGTGCTTTGGACACCTATGATTACCAAAAGCAAAAGAATTGTAAAAATCTTTATATATATATAAAAGAATTATATATTACTTATTACATATACATATATATAAATTATATATTACTTAGACTTTGTTTTCTTTTTGCACATATCCATCATAAAAGGAAATCAGACATGAATTTATTATCACACAGTCTGTTAACTGAGACTAAATATGAAGATAAAAGAAGAACTCGTGATGAAAGGACTAAGTCTTCCCACCAGCCTATGACTGGTCCCCTTTGAAATCCAGTTTGAAGCTGTCAGGCAGAATGTTTTGAAGCAGGGAGCCACAGAGGTTAATTATGTAAGGCATTCTTCTACACCATTGTTTTATATTTGTTACAGTGTAATTTGGAATGGCCTCTTTCTCTTGGAATTACAGGGGAAGGACAATTAGAGCTCACAAAAGGAGAGCAGACTACTGTATTGTTTCCAATTTCTCCACCTTCTCTTTAAATGCACTAATCCTGTGCTGATTTATTCCCTCCTGAACGGAATGTCCTCAGATATATTTAACAGTTTTACTCTTCATTGAATCATTTATACTTTCTGATAAATGATGAGTAACACTAAATGCGGGATCACAGTGAGGACCTGTCACTGCACTTCTTGAACAGCCCAGAGATCTTCTGAGGGTGTTCCCTTGCCAGGCTCTTGATTTCACACAGCACCTCCGTGCTGGCACAGCAGGAGAGAGATCTGCTCCTTATCCCAGACTAGTCTGGGCTGAATGGACTTTAAAGCCCATCCCATTCCACCCCCTGCCATGGACAGGGACACCTTCCACCAGACCAGGTTGCTCCTGGTCCAGCCTGGCCTTGGACACTTCCAGGCACAGGGCAGCCTCAGCTTCTCTGGGCACCCTGTGCCAGGGCCTCACCTCCCTCACAGGGAAAAATTTCTTCCCAACATCAAATCTAAATGTCTTCTCTTTAAAACTGTTACCCCTTGTCCTATCACTCTCTGCCCATGTAAAAAGTTCACTCTCCCTCTTTTTTATAAGCCCCTTTATAAGGTTTCCCTGGAGCTGTCTCTTTTCCAGGTGAACACCCCCAGCTCTCCCAGCCTGACTCCAGAGCAGAGGGGCTCCAGACTTCCTCTGGACCCTCCCTAACAGTCCACGTGGTTCTTGTGCTGAGAACCCCAGACCTGGACATAGCACTCCAGGTGAGGTCTCACAAGGACAGAGAAGAGGGGCAGAATCCCCTCCCTTGCCCTACTTGTCACATATTCTCAAGGCACAACAGTGCATGTCCAACACACTGCCTACTGCATGGTCTGAACCAGCCCTTCCAATCCACAAGGAATGTCACTTTTACTGAACCCAAGAAGCTTGCCTGGGTCATTCTGAAGTTCCTCGTTATTTTCTGCTCCCAGCCCAGAAGCTGCTCCCAGCAGCATCACAACCCACAGGAGCTCAGCCCCCAATGGCATAAAACAGCAGCTTGTCAAACACCAAGCACACTCAGCCTGCTCCACTGCGGATCCCAGCTGGAGCCGGGTCCTTCATCACTCACATGCTTTTTCTCAAGCAGCCTCATTAACAAGGGGATGTTGGCATGGCTGAAGACTACTTTCAAGAAATACATCAACAATTCTCCCCAGCTACCCCTGTACTGGCTTTTCAGGAATCCCATTAAAGAAATCCCATACACTGGTTTGCTTCCAAGCATTCCTGTTCCCCTGAACTCTGAGCAGTGTTGCTTCAATCCTTTCAACTGCAGTGAACATCAGCTCTCGGCAAAATCCACTTCAATAAATAATCAAACTTTCTCCTCATTACCAGGGAACATTCAACTTATTAATAGAAAAGTTGGAAAAATGTATGTGACATGTTCCAGTCACGTAGCACACCCTCCAGAAGCTCACCTTCAGGGAACTAAATCTCCCTGTAACTCCCTGCAGATTTAGACCACCCTGCACCATCCCAGCATTCCTTGTGCTGATATCAGCAGGCAAACAGAAGTTAAGGTTTGAGGCTATTTCTGAAATGTAGGCATTGAGACAAATTATCTACTCCAGTGAAAGGAGGGAATGAAGGGACAATAATTCTGCAAAAGGAACTAACTCGCTGTGGTTGACTTGCAAGAAACACTCGTGTGACAAAAAATTCTTACAGAGAAGCTACATGGTATTGATAAAATTACAAACTAGCAAAAATAAAAATAGATGCCGCTTGAAAATTAAATTTCAAATTCAGGAACTGTGTGAGGAGTCCATCCCAGAAGTATGGACTAATTACTGACTGGTTTAAATGTTTTATTTCAATGCTTTGCACAGTAATGGTACTTTTCAGGTTTTACCTGAATTTCATCACACTTGATGAGCTTTTCAACCTCTTCTTGATTTAAGAGGATAAACTCTTCATGCTGAACCACCTCTGGAAAATGTTTCTGGCTGAAGACCTCTGCAGCTTGCATTAGATCCACACAATTGTGTGTCTCAGCAAAATCCCGAATGCCCAAACAATTTGATGGATCCAGCTGGCTTTCTAGAAACTCACAGCAAGCTTGTTTCACACCTATGGAAAATTGGAGGGGTGAATGAGCACTGCACACTTACTATCAATCCACTGCTTTGGCAAGGGCTTCAAAAAAGAAAGTTCTAAGCAATATTGAAAATCCAATCCAAATAATAAGTACTACAGAAACATACACATGCATGTATTGCTTTGGAGACTGTGAAGACACTTGGAGCAGCCAGACAATGTGTTTGGGCTGGTTTGAGCTCTGGCTGTTCTATTCCAATGAAAAAATTATATCAATCTGATACTAGGAAGACTCCAATGTGAGTTGTACTCAGCTTCATGGATTATAAACCACTACTGTGTCTGCTAGTAGACATGGCACTAGATTTCTAGGTCTATGATAACCTTTAGGCAAGTTGTCTGGGATTTCAGATAATTGTCTGGGATAGCTCCATAGGTGCGTGTGCAATGACAACAACCAGTCTGTTACTGACCCAGACACACTGTGATGGCAGGTCAAACGACATCTAGGATTGCTTATTACAATAATCTAACTGAGCTGTAACATTTATGTGCTGTACAGCTCACAATTCCTCTTGGGAATACTCCTGCAGAAGTACAGTAGCCCAAAGAGTGGAACCTGTTTTACCATTTTGTTCTGCACCCAAATCTGTTCCACTACCAGTGAGACGACAGCACACAAGAGAAGTTTGACATAACTACTTAAAGTATCATTCCTCCCCCAGTCTCTCTTTCATGCACAGAGGGTCAAACAAACCAAATCTCTAAACAGCAGCAATGATGCAATTTGTGCTAATCTTTGAATTACCTTTCAGCTGAAGCAGACATGCTGCTGGAAGCAATTCTTGGACATTTTCTACTGTCACATGCACAGTTTCTGTATATACAAAGTCCAGCAGGATTTCCATGGTGGAGGCTGTCAGGCCCTGGATATCCACACAGGGTTTATCTTTCTCTGAGAGCTGTAAATTAAAAGGGAGACACAGCTTTATTTTTCATTAATGTGATCAGAAAGCCCACAACTCTCAGCAGGTTTGAAAATAAGATCTGTCAGAGCTTTCAACAGAGATTTGCCCTTTTTATCCTGGTGCTCACTGAAAGGATATAGGGAAGGAGGGAATTCCCCTATAGAATTCACTTACAGAAACGAGTAAGAGACAAAGTTCTTTATGGATCAAAAGGACAGTCATACTGCACAGTAAAACCTGAGAGCTGAGATCTGAGTCAGCAGAGACTACATGTGTCACCTATGCAAGACAACAAAACTGTCTCCTCCATGCAGTACTCCAAGCTTACTCCAAGGGAATTCCTCCTGCAGTTCACATGGAGTCCCCACCTAGGTGCTGGCCCAAAGCAGGTTCTTTCACCAGGTGTGAAAGAGGCCAATCCACACCCAGAATCTGGGTATTTGATTCATTTCAGTTCAGCACAGAAAGGGGGGCTGGGGGCCAATCCCCAAAGCCAGCCAGACTGACAAAACAGTTTACTATTTATACATTTTAGCAAACAAAGGCATTAATGTTCATTGGCTACAAGCTATCTAGTTCTCTCATTGATTAGCCTTCTACCTTCTATTGGTTAATGACTTCCTTGCTACTTATGCTAATTAGTCCCATGCTCAGTCTTTCTCTTCCTCTGGGTCAGGGGACTTGTGGAGTCAGTGGCTGTGAGTCAGTGGTCTGGACATGCCCCTGCTGGAATTACCTTCTACCCATTTGGAGCTGAATTCAGCACAGCCGCTGAGCTGGCTTTATCAGTTTATTCCTTATTTTGGGAGTTTTGCCAAGTGTCTCTGTGGCCCAGAAATTTGGCTTCTCTGTGCCCCTTATTAGTAGGCCATCCTTCTGCCTGAGTTCTGGTAACTTCCCCCGGGCATGTCCAGCCCCAAACCTGAACAAGTCAATTCTACTGACAAGTAATTTTCCTTCCAACACCTGGACATCTTCACCACTCTTCTCTAAAACCAAGCCAAAGAAAAAGCTTTCTCAACTCGTCAGCTTCCTGATTCATTCTTCAAGCTTATGGTGAACTTCATTTCTAAAATGAAATGAAGTAAAATGATAGTTTGTGCAGTGATGGCACTTACACGATCCAGACTTTGTCCCCAGACTATTTAATCATCTCTATGATTAATTTTGGAATAATTATTTATTCCAAGGAACATTATCCTCTCAATGGTCAATCTTTGGGAACAGCAAATTCTGTGACTCCATCAAATTTGCACAAAACAGATTATATTTCACAAAGTATCAGTTTCATGGTCCAGTGCCTCCAGTGCAGAGCTGTTGGCAAAGCACCTGATGATTCCTGACCAGTGGGCTGGCTGGTGGGCTCACTGATCACACCCTGCACATTGCTGCCAGCTCAGCAGCATGGCTGCACCTCAAGAGATAAAGATCTTCCTGTGGCATGCTGCAAAACCAGCCCTGACTTCTGGAGCAGTCAGCACCAGTGCAAGCACAATGCACATGACAGCCTGTGGCTTCTCTTGCCAAGAATGAGCCCGAAGTTGGTATAGCCAGTTGGGCAGAGGCTCAGGGAGCAGAAAGCAGGACCAAAGCACCATCACTGAGCTTCAAACCTGCCACAGCTGGGGAAAAATGAGGTGATACAGAATACAGAAAATAAGAGCAGTGGAAGCTACTCCTGCAGAGGCACTCCATGACACAGCAGAGATGTCTGCTGGGACTGAGCCCTGTGTGTTGTACAGACATAGACTTGCGGGGAAGTACAGGAGGTAATGGTGACCCTTGAGGGAATTTGAGGGAAGAGGCCTTTCAAACCTCTTGACTCAGTGAACAACCTTTATGGCTTCCAAATTTGGGAATGAACAGCAAATTACCTTGTCTGACCTGCTGTGTGACAGGCCAGGCATTGCATTCAGAAGCTAAAACCAGTTCCTGCCTTGGGCCAGACAAAACATTCCCAAAACAAGACTAAGCTCTTTGTACCACAAAGGACACAAATGCCACCGAAGTTCAGAACTATTCAGATGATTCTAATAAGCAAATGAAGACACAGACCATATTTAGGATCAAAGAGGTTACAAACTTCTATTGACCTCCTGATAGCTGTTAGAATCAGTTCTTCACACATCAGTGTGGAGCTGATAAGGAAGCTCCTGACCCACAACCAATCAGCCATGCACATACTCTCCTTATATTGGTGACCACAACACAAACCACAAGGACAACACTAATACCATACAGATGATTACTTCCTGCTTCCCTTGTATTTCTGCTACACCCCACTACTTGGTTATTTTGCGCAGTTTACTCATATGCTAAGAATGCCTAGAAGGGAGGAAGTATTTCCCATAACTTCACCTAATGTGTGTGATGTAGAATTGGGATCCTAACATCATACCTTGAAGAAGGATCTCAGTGTGGAGACAACTTGATTGGAAGGGACCTTCTGTGGATCCTCTCTGTCAGTTTGAAGCCATTTCCCTTTCTCCTGCAACCCCAGTGAAAAAAGTCTCTCTCCATTTTCTTGTTGGTTCCCTTCAGGCTACCCCAGAGCCTTCACCAGACTCAACAATCCCCATTCTCTCAGCCTTTCAGACTCATGAGGACTCTGAGCTGAGCTCCAGCCCGTGTGTGCAGCATTACAGAACTGCCTGCAGTGCTCAGTGCAAAATGATGGCCATTCAATGCTACCCAACACCCAGGCCAGGTAGCTTTCCTCTTCAAGGTGTTCACTGTTTACTTTTGAGGTTGTTCAGTGGCATCAGACACATCTCTGCTGTCAGAATTTCAGGTTGGTTTCTCACTTCATTTTTTAATATCAGAGCTCTGCTCACTCTCCCTGAAGGGACTAAACTAGCCCATACAGAAGTGTGCAGTAGTACAGGTCCCAAAATCAACTGCAGCATCCAGGAAAACAACTAAGGAGAGTCATTTAGAGGCTTCAGGAGTTTTACCACAAGATGCCCAAGCTGCAGAAAGCCTTAAGGCAGGGGCAACAGGTTACAGCTCTTTTGTGAACCACTATGTTGCTTTTTCCATTCCATCCATAAATCATTGTGCTGGGCTTGACTGGGGTAGAGTTTATTTCCTTCCCAGTGGCTGGCATGGGGCTGTATTTTGGATTTGTGCTGAATGCAGGGACAATAATGGAGATGTTTTTGTTATTGCTGAGCAGTGGTCACACAGAGATAAGGCCTTTTCTGCTTTTCATACTGCCTGGCTGGCAAGGGGGCTGGGAGGACACACAGCTGGGACAGATGACCCAAAGTGATCAAAGGCACGTTCCAGACCACACAACTTCATGCTCAGCACATAAAGTGGGGGGCAGAAGGAAGGAGGGGAGGGATGTTTGGAGTGATGTTTCTCTTCCCAAGTCACTGTTGTGTGGCCTGGAACCCTGCTCTCTGTGGGATGCCTGAACACCTGCCTGCCCTGGGAAACAGAGAGAGAATTTCTGGGTTTGCTTTGTTTGCACACGTGACTTTTGCTTTCCATATTAAACTGTCTTTATCTCAATCCACAAATTTTCCAGCTTTTACCCTTCTGACTCCCTCCCTGATCTTGCTGGTGTGGGAGCAAGCATGGGGCTCTGTAGGGCTCGGCTGCTGCCTAGGGCTAAACCATGACAATCATGCAGGAGAATGGGTATAAAATTTTGCAACTCCTTTCTTACCCAAGGCTACTTCTTGTTTTGCCTTTACTAACGCAGATACACAAAAGTACTCTAGAATAAACCCCAATTTCCTCTCACAGGGGAAGAGAAATGCTGGCATGACAGTGCTAATGTGTGGCTCACTGTACCCTGGAGAGCAATCATAGTGTAGAGAAGGTGACCATGTAAGAACCTGGAAACACCAGCTGTTTGCTTTCAAAATAATATTTCTCTGTTCTAGAGGGAAAGAGCCCTTCAATTTCTAGAACACAGCCTCCAAGAGAAGACAGAACAGTTTCCTTCTGAGGTAGAGCCAGTAATCAGCTCTTAAAAGATCCCAAGTTATGTTAACTTGGACAAATAAAGACAAATACCAGCGCACAGTCAAGATTCAGGGGTGATAAAACTGCTCTGCAATTTTCACTACAAGGAACAAGCCTGCAGGTAAAACTGATGGTGTTTCACTTTTCCCACACTGCTCAGCACAGGGCAAAGGAAAGTGCTGTAAAAAACCCGGGGTTCATCAGGTAATCAGTGGCTTCTCCTCATGCTGTAAAACAGGAAGGAACAGAAAATGGGAAGAAATTAATACTAAGCTAGACTGAGAACTTATTTTAAAATGTTAAAAGTCAGAAGTGAGAGAAGGAAGGAAACTTGAGACACAGGGAGGCAAAGGCAGTTCTTTATGACAACAGTATCTGCTGACAGTCTCAGTGCCGTGCTGGCTGTGCACAGATGTGACACCAGGAATACTGTGGCATAACCCCAGGATAAAAGGCCAGGAATGCCATGACATAAACCCAAGATCAGTTCTGAACAAAGCCTCGTGCAGCCCAGCCTGGCACATCAGGGCAGCCAAGCAGTCCCCAGACCTGCAGGAGGCAAGCAATGCAGAGCTGAGGAAGCCCTGGCAGGGCCGGTCAGTCCATGACACCACACACACTCTGAGCTCCCTGGAGTCCAGCCTGGCCAAACCCTGCACCCACAAGTGCCTGGAGAGTGTCCAAGCACTGTCCCATCACAGGCCCCGACACACTTGTTGCTGACACACACAGGAAACATGTCCACTCTGAGGCTTACCAAGCTGCCCCTTCCTGGAAGGAAGCTCTCCCACAAACACTCCGTAATTGTGTGCCCCTTGGCAGGTTGGCCACTTTAGGGTTTCCATAACAAAGACACAGGTTTGGAAGAAACACAAACCAAGCAAAAGAAAAGAAACCCTTAAAGCAGAGGCATTGTGGGAGCACGAGAGAACAAGCAATTTTGCCTACTGAGCACAGCTGCTTTCCCAGGAAGAATTTAATTTCCTAGGAAGATTCCCAAGTCTGAATGAAGGTCACTATGATGTTACAGTTAACACGAGTGTAACGAAGCAAGGAGAGACATCTCAGCTCAGACCCAAAGCACACCAACCCCCAGCCTTTGTCAGCAGCCACAAAGAAGCTTCTGGAGCACATGGAGTGATGGAATCTCTGCACACGAAGTCCAGAAGTCAAAAGCACTGACAGGAACATGGAGGCAAACCTAGAGAAGCAGAGATACTCTGCTGTACTGCTGAGCACCTAGAGCTACTGGAGAACAGAGAACTTCAGCCATTAGGGATTGAATGCTTTGTGTGTTTTCTTCATCTAATTACACTTCCTTTATGCAGAGAAAGAGCACAAACCTGATCAATTTACAAATTTCATGAAGATATGGACAAAAAAAGGTATTGGTCTGAGGTCAGGCTACACATGCATCATTTTGGTTTCTTTAGACAGGTCTGTAAAGACCTGCTCCCCTGACAGCACTGAGCTAAGTGGGCACACAGAGAGCTCTGCCACAGCCTTCGTGCCTGGGTGAAACAAAGAGAAAAATAATTCTCTGCTGCAATGATTCTTCAGCTAGCAGGGAGAGCTTCAGGACCTGTGAGCTACTTAACAATGTTTCTCCCTGCTCATGGGGAAGGTAGTAGGATAAGGAAAGCATATTCCATAACAGAAAGCTGCAAAGATTGACTACAACTTATAAAGACAAAGCCAGGCAAAGCATCTGACATTTAACAGAGTGCCAGCTCCAGCTGAAGCAGTGCCTGTGACTCAGGGAAACTGCACACACGTAGCACAAGTCTCACAGGAAGGGCTGAGAGCCAGGGTGCTCACAGGTGAGATGTGCTGGGTGCAGCACCTGGGGCTCAGAGCCACCCCAGCCCCAGTGACACCCCCATGGCAGGAGAGCAGCACAGCCCAGCTCTCCGCCAGTGCCAAGGGCAGCCCAGAGCACGCATCAAACACCCTCCTTTGTGCTGAAAGGGCTGCCCAGAATCCCCAGCACAGCTCCCACAGCTCTGTGCCAGGCCAGGAAAGATGCCCGCAACCACGGAAACCACAAAGCACCACTAGAAAAAAAAGTAAATGTATCACAACTCTCCGGCTTGGTAGCTCAGCCTGGCAGCTCGCTGGGAACAGGGTGGTCGCTGCAGACTGTAAATCAAGGCCACAGTCACTGCCACAACCTCTTAACTCCCCACCAGATCACAATAAACGGCTCTGGGGCCACCATAAGAAGACACAGAATCACCTTGAAAGGCTCCAGGACCACCAAGACAGAACCCAGAGGGCACCAGGGCCAGCACAGAGAGATTCACAGTGACCAAGGGCCACCATGGATTAATCCAGGGCCACCACAGGGGTTCCTGAAGCACCTACAGCCACCATGAAGGGATCAAGAACTACAACGGGGGCATCCTGAGCAACCACCGGGACTATCCAGTGGACTCCAGGATCCAGGATCACCACAAGGGGATGCTGGGCCCCCACGGGGGGATGGTGGCCCAGCTGCTGAGCAGCTCAAGAGAGAACAGCCCAAGGACTGGGCGGCCCTGCCTCCTCCACCCACGGAGCACCCAGGGCCGGCCGCAGCACCGACCTCGCTGGTGAACATGGCGCAGAAGTAGTCGCTGCAGGCGGCCAGGACGATGCGGTGGGCCGGGAAGTCCTTGTGCTCCACGCGGAGGGTGACGTCGCAGAGCGTGTTGCTCTTACGCAGGGCGTTCATGGCGTTGAGGATGGACTTGGCGTGGGAGTTGGTCATGATGTCCTTGGGGGGGGCCATGGCGCGCGGCACCTGCGGGCACAGCCAGCACGGCCACATGGCACGGCGCCCGCGGCCGCCAGGGGGCGCTGCGCCCGCCCGCCCTCAGCGCCCGCCCCGCCCGGCGCCCCCGCCCACCGCGACCCCGCGCCGCGGCCGCCCCGGCGACACCCGCCCGGCCCGGCCAGGCCCAGCCCGGCTTGGCTCGGCTCGTCTCGTCCCGGCCCGGCCCGGCCCCGCCCCGCCCCGCCCGGCCCGGCCGCACTCACCGCCGCGGGGAGAGGTCCCGGCCCGCACACCTCGCCTCCCCCCGCCCTTCCCTCTCCCCGCGCCGCGCGCTCTGAGCGCGTCATCGCGCCGCGCGGAGCGCCCCGCCCCGGGGTGCCGGGTGGTTGCCGAGCAACGAGCCCGGGGCGGGCCCCGCAGCGCCCCCCAGCGGCCCCCGCGGGACCCGCAGCGCAGAGAGCCTGAGGGGCCGGAGCGGCTGAGGGAGCCGGGAGCGGGCTAGAGAGTCCCTGAGGGAGCTGGGAGCGGGCTGGAGAGTTCCTGAGGGAGCTGGGAGCGGGCTGGAGAGTCCCTGAGGGAGCTGGGAGCGGGCTGGAGAGTTCCTGAGGGAGCTGGGAGCGGGCTGGAGAGTCCCTGAGGGAGCTGAGACAGGGCTGGAGAGTCCCTGAGGGAGCTGGGAGCGGGCTGGAGAGTCCCTGAGGGAGCTGGGACAGGGCTGGAGAGTCCCTGAGGGAGCTGGGAGCGGGCTGGAGAGTCCCTGAGGGAGCTGGGACAGGGCTGGAGAATCCCTGAGGGACCTGGGACAGGGCTGCAGAATCCCTGAGGGAGCTGGGACAGGGCTGGAGAGTCCCTGAGGGAGCTGGGACAGGGCTGGAGAGTCCCTGAGGGAGCTGGGACAGGGCTGGAGAATCCCTGAGGGAGCTGGGACAGGGCTCAGCCTGGAGAAAAGGAGGCTCGGAGGGACCTCCTGGCTCTGCACAGCTCCTGACAGGAGGGGACAGCCGGAGGGTCGGGCTCTGCTCCAGGGAACAGGGACAAGAGGAGAGGGAACGGCCTCAGGCTGGGCCAGGGGAGGTTCAGGTTGGATACTGGGGAAAAATTCTTCCCTGAAGGGCTGGTCAGGCCCTTGCACAGGCTGCCCAGGACAGTCAGCATGGAATGGTGGAATCACCATGCCTGAAAGTGTTCAAAATATGTGTGGATGTGGCCCCTGGGGACATGGTTTTCTGGTGAATATGGCAATTCTGGGGGAGTGGTCGGACTCCATGATCTTAGAGGGCTTTTTTGACCTTAATGATCCCGCGATTCCATGGTTCTCGGTTCCCTGCCGCAGTGCTCTGGAGGCAGAGCCCTCGCAGAGCGCTGGGCATGGTGTGAGCTGTTCCTGCCCCTGGTGCGGCTCCTGCCGGGTGAACTCCTGGAACTGGCTCTGCCAGGGTTGCGGGAGCCAAGCTGTGAGCCAGGCACCAGGAGCCTGCTTTAGAATCCAGGATTTTAAAATTCATACTATTTTTGAGCTCTTCCCACACATGCAACTCAACATCTCCAGCAGATCGCCTCCAGCTGACAGCCCTGAGCCGCCTCCGCTCCCCTCCTGCCCTCGGGCTTGCTTCCAAGCCTGCCTGGGGATGAATTTTAAAACCTGAATCCATACATACAGTCAGGTGCAGAGTCATTGTCAACAACCTGAGATAAATTCCCAGCTAAATGTAGAACAGAGTATGACTTAAGGAATCTGTACATCAAGGTTGAGATATTATCCTGGCCTGCAGGCTGATCATAATTCAAAAGCTTCCTCCTCTAAGAACCAGGGTCACTCTGTTTGGAGGCTGTATATGGAATGAGAGTTTGTAGGATTTGTTTGACCTCAGCCATGCTAAAGAAGCAAATGATTGGCAAGACTCAGCAGGTGGAGATGAGAATCCAGTGTTTGGCAAGGAGGGCAGTTTAGCATTGCCTTCAGAGCTGGCAGATGCTCTGCCATGGGGGATTTTTGAGTCAGCAGCACCTCGTTCTCTAGATCCAACTCAAGAAGAAATTGTTGTGTTGGAGGCAGGTACCAGTATGTGTGTGAGACTGCATCATCATCTGCTCCTCTGGGAGCTCTAAGCCAGGAGGGATGTGTGACCAAAGTGTGAGAGCAGACTCATGCATGGGAGATACAGCCTGGAAGAACGGAGGAAAGAGGCAGCACTCGCCTGCTTAGTGCTCTCTGTGCACCTCATTTCCCAACTGTTGGCCTCTGTGTCCACCTGGTGCTGATTGTCTGAGGCTACAGATGAAATCCTGGGGTGTATCAAATGGGAACAATCAGTGGCTTCCCCACCACCTGCAGGGGTGCAGCCTCACCTCAAGTCTGGGGGGAGGTTTGGGGCACCACAATATAAGAAGGCTCTGAAGTTACTGGAGAGTGTCTAAAAGAGGGACACAGAAATAGGGAAGGGTCTGGAGGGGCCACACGAGGAGCGGCTGAGGGCACTTGGTCTGTTCACCCCGGAGCCCGAGGTCAGACCCCACTGGGGCTGCAGCTCCTCATGAGGGGCAGCTCCGATCTCTGCTCCCTGTGCCAGGGACAGGACCTGAGGGAACAGCTGGAGCTGGGCCAGGGAGGGTTAGATGGAGATCAGGGAATGGTCCTTCCCCCAGAGGGTGCTGGCACTGAACAGATTCCTCAGGGAATGGGCACAGCCCCGAGGCTGCCAGAGCTGCAGGAGTGTTTGGACAGCGCTGCCAGGGGTGCCCAGCGTGGGTTTGTTGAGTGTCTGTGCAGGGCCAGGGGTTGGACTCCATGATCCTTGTGGGTCCTTTCCAGCTCAGGTGTTCTATCTATAATTCTATGATTTTTTTCAAGAAAAAAAATTCTGAGAAAAATTAAGGCAGCCACTGTAAAAATTGTGTATTGAAATTAAGCTTTATATCTCAAAGGATGAAAATTTACTGTATGTTTGTTAATTAGGTACAAGTTCTTTGAATGGTGACATATATTGCATTGCTCTCTATATTAATGTTCTGCATATATTATTTATCCTTTTAAATACATATTTTAATATAGGAAAAAAGAACTAAATAGAGAAATTATCAAATTTGTGCAAGCAAGAGCAAGGTGCATCATAGGGCTCAGAAATAATGTACAAATAAATTCACTGCAGCAATATTCTTTCAGAATAAGCAAGTAAGTAGAGCAGGGGCTTTGAAAAGGAACATGTAATCCTATTTGTGGGAATGCATTTCAACCCCACAGCGGGTTGATGCTGTCTAGAACACTCTATACAAACACACCATGCTCCAAAGACATTTCCATGTACCCGGACAAGGCCCTGAGCAGCCTGATGGGATGTTGGTGTTGGCTCTGCTCTGAGTGGGGTGGGACCAGCTCTCTAGGCCTCTGATTTAAGTTGTGCTTTGGGTCTGGGTTAATGTCCATAGCCAAGTTCCTTGGTTTGATTGATAGGACTTGTCTGGTCCTTGGAGTGTCCTCTGGGATTGCATAAAAAGGTCCCAGCTGGTGTGGTGCAAGGGAGAAACTTGGAAGAACTTTATCTGTAGCTTCCTTTGGGGTTTTTCCCTCAGACTGGCTTGGACTTAGACACATCCTGCCACTGGAACAGGGCCAGCCCAGTGAGTGGAGGAGCCACCTGTGCTGTGCCTATTTGAAGAGGCAGTTGGGATGTGGTGGAATGGCTTTTGAAGTCTGTGTTCCATGATTTTGGGGCAGATGGTACTGAATCTCACCTGCAGCAGAGCTGGTCAGGCCAGCTCTTGTGCCCCAGGACTTCCTGCAGAGTGCTCTGACCCAAACATGGCACTCCCTGGTGACTCAGGTGTTCTGCCAGCCCTGTGCTGGGACATCAGGGACACAGTTCCCAGCATTTGTGGAAACAGTCTTGGCTCTCCAAGGCTTCAGTGTATCCTGGCTCAGTGTCTCCTCCACAAGCCAGGCTGGGGAAGCTGCTGTCACACTGCCAAGCAAACCTGGTTTTCTGCAAATCTGAGTGAATACACAGAGTTTGTGCCTGCAGGTCCTGTAGGTTAAGAACACTTAGATGAGATCCCCAGGAAGCACAGCTGCTCTGGCTGTGCTCCAGCCCTCCTTCTCTCAGATGTACTCACTCTTTCTCTTAGAAAGACAAGTCAGACTTGGGAACAGCTGTGCAGAGCCCAGATGCCCAGTTTGAGGTGTTTTGCACTTGCTGTTTTTGTGGATCATGGTTGGAATCCCTCTCACTCCTCCCTTGCTCCCTTGTCTGTACCTCCCAGGGATAACAGTCCTTGGAGCTGTCATTGCCCAGCAGAGTAACGTGGGGAGGGTTGTTCTCCTACAGCTGTGCACTTGGGAAGGTGCTTGGTATGGCTTGGATGAGTGTGAGTCTGCCACAGGGAGGAACAAGGATTGCAGGGAACAAATAGATGGATTTTGGAAGAGCTGAGGTTGCATCCAAGCCACCTTTAGGACCTCACGGAGCCCATGTGACTCAGGCACTGCACTGTGGTGTTCAAGGAGTGGAAGTGTGCAAGAATTCTGGAGACACAAACCAGATGTGCCCATGAGATAGCAAGGAGAGCTTTGGCCTGAGTACAGGCAGGACCATTATAAACAATTCTGATTGATAAAAAAAAAAAAAAATTGAAATACTTTAGTTATAAAAAGTTTTTTGGAGGCTCATGTACTTCTAGACACAAGACTGATGTCTTTTATTGTTCATTCAGAAAGAAAGTGTTTTCTGTTGAAGTTTCTGTTATTAAAAGTTTCCTTTTTCTCCGAGAGTTTTATCCCACGAGAGTTTTTATCCTCCGAGAGTTTTGTCCCATTCTCAGTTCTTTCAGGGCATGCAAAATTGTGGTGCTGTGGGAGAAGAATGGTTCGGGGAAGGCAGAGGAAGAAATGTTGGAATTGGGTTGACTGTAAGTCTCTTATGTCAAAACTAACAAAAGCTACCACCAGATTTGGGAATATCTTCTCGAGAACATTCATCCTCTGGAAGAAAATCCTCCACTGGCCAGAGGCACTCAAAGGCTACTGCCAAGTAGCTTCTGGTTTCAGCTCCTGCATGGAGCTGCTCATCTGAGGAGCCTGAGTCTGTTCTCAATTCCTGTGCTGCTCCAGGAGAAAAATTCAGTTACTGCAATTCAGCAACTGTTGCAGGCCCTGGGTTAAGAAATGTTTTTATTCTCTTCCAGTCCAGCTACTCAATGGATGTTCTTCAGCTGAAAAGAAGGAAGAGATGATTTCCTGTATCAGAGAAATGGATATTCCTGGAAAAACAGGCCAGTGTGCACCCAGGCTCTCCTTCAAGTCTGAGCAGCAGCAGGGAGCTCTAGATTCTTCTTCAGCAGTGGTTTACCAGTTTGGGATGGGCAAGACTGTTGTGGCTGTGATCATGGAAGAAGC